ACACACACACACACACACACACACACACACTAATATCTCCTTGTCACCAAATATAGTCACAGGGCGGATTAAGGCTTCAGCATGTGAATTTGGGGAGGGACGCAGCTCAGTCCCTAACGGAAAGGTCGTCTAGGGCTTGACAGGCATCAGGATGGGTTCGCAGAAAACACTGAGCTCTGGAGAAAGTTCAGGGAAAGAATGCAGTTGGCCCCGCGAGAAGCCTGCAGCAGGAGGAATGACTGCTGAGCAAGACTGTTCTTGGAACTCAGACCGAGGGGCACCCTGAGCACGCCGTTCAGATTGAGCTGCGGCCCCAGGGGGGTCTTCCTGCAACAGAAGCCGGAATCCGCCACAGCGCCGCCTGCGGGGGATTCGGGAGCGGGGCGGGGCGGCCGTGGCTCTGAGGCTGCCGGGCCTCCTCGCCCAGGGCACGGCACTGTCACCCGTCCTGTCTGAGCACCTCCGCACGGAGAAGTCTGAGGGCACTGGGTGAACGGGGACCCCGTCTGCCACTCAGTCCTCCCACTCGGCTGCCTCTGTGCCCTCACGGCTGGCACCGAGGGTCAGCTGATGGCACGGAGGAGGGCTATTGCAACAGCCTCACCTGGCCGGCCTCCAGGCGTCTCTGCTCCCGGCCACGCCCGCCGCCTCCCGCTCCTGGAGCCCAACTCTGACCCCGTCACTCTCCGCTCACCGGCTGCGATGGTGCCCCACTGAGGCCCGGCTCCCTGGGCTAAGGTCCGGCCTCTGCAGTCTGACTTGTCCCCGAGTCCCTCCTGCCGGCTGTCCTCCGGCCTCGGGGGTTTGAGCCCATCGTGATCCAACCGAGGTGCTGAGTCCCGAGAGTATTCCCGCCGCCTCGGGCGGTGCCCAAACTCTTCTCTGGGTCTCAGACGTTCTCTTCCCCGGGGCATCGGCTGGTCCAGGGTCCTGGCGTCCCTGCGACGAGGTAACACGGGCCAGGGAAGCCGATGCTACAGGAAGGAGCGGGAATGGGACCGGGGGAGTGACGGTGGCAAGAAGAGTGGAGCCTTCACGTTCAAGCCCGGCACCTGCTCCCCCGAGCGAACAGACGGAGGTGAAATGGGGAAACTGAGCCCCTGACACGGAGTGAGTGCCAGGCCTGCGTGTGACCGCACTGGTCCTCGCAGCCACCATACGGGTCTGACTCCGAGCCCTCGCCGCCCCGGCACCCGGAGAGCCTTGTGCAGCAGACACTGCCCCCTCCGCCTGCTCACAGACTCAGTCCCCAGGCTTCACCCCGAACAGGAGCATTAACACCCTGAGAAGCAGCGAGTGCTTAAGCCACCCCTGCTGCGTCCACCCCAGCTCCTCTCCCGCGGCTGTGGGACAGCGCCCTCCGGGGGCAGAGAAGAACGCCGAGGCTGGGTCAACTGTCGCCGGCCACCTGAGCATGTCTCCTTCTGCTGAGAGGATGTGGGGTGCACAGCCGGGCAGGGAGAGGCCCCGGCCAGTGCCCGCAGCCAACAGGCAGGACCACGTGGCAGCCCCGTCTGTGCTGAGGCCTCCTCCCGGGCGCCAGCTCTGAGCCAGCGAACAGCATCCAGCAGCTGAAAACAGCCTTTGCTGCCCGGGTCCCTTTATGCTGTGACTTACGTCTGAGGCCCCCAAACGCAAGCACCTGAGAGCGGAGGCCATCAGCCAGCTGAGGGCGGAGTCTGAGGCCCTCTGTCACCCTGGCCCCTGAATCCGAGTGGCACCTGCCAGCTCTGCTCCCCACCCACTACTTCCTCCCCAGACGATTCGCTGCTTCGGTTCGCACGCCGTGGGGGTCAAGGCTGCGCGGACTCAGGAGCACAGGCCGCTCAGCTCCTACTGAGCATCGAGAAGACGTTACTGCAAGTCAGACCGCGCTGCAGGGTCTCGGGTTCTAATCCTGAGCAAGGGCATGCACCCACGTGGGGAGGCAACCCACCCTGATGTCTCCCCTCTCCCCTCCTCCTCCTTTTTTCCTTTCTCCCCTCCCCCTTCTCCCTCCCTGAAAAGCAATGGGGAAAACACCCTCAGGTGAGGAATAACAAAAAAGGCACAGAAAACAGTGCCCTCAGGACTCCAGGAACCACTGCACAGCGAGGCTTTGGAGCTTGACCAGCTCCCTCCATGGGTGTGGCTGAAGGTGCTGTGTCTCCAGCTTGGCCGGGCACCAGCGTTGAGCCTTTAGTGGCTGCACTGGGGGAGGCAGGTGTGGGGACCGGAGTCCCGGTTCCCGCCGCCCAGCCCTTCCCTCAGGGTTGCTCTGGTGGGAGTTGCCCAATCCTCTGGGCTTCAACCACCGGTGGGAAAAGAAGCTCTGGCCTCCAACGCCCCAGGCTCGGAGGCGCGGGGCAGAGCTGAGTGGGTAAAGGAGTTACACAAACAGTGAGAACAGCTTGAGGTTTCCCAGGAACAGTGTTTCCTCGTCCATCAGGCTTCCTCATCGCTATTGAGACACAGGAGCACTCGACCTCTTCCCTCCTCCCCACGCTCAGGACTCGTTGTCCCAGCGAGGAGGCGTCCGTGTTCCACCGGAGAGCAGTGGGTTTTAGGTGCGTGTGCGTGTGCGTGTGCGTGTGCGTGTGTGCGTGTGTGCGTGCGTGCGTGCGTATGTGTGTGTGTGTGTGCGTATGTATGTGTGTGTGTGTGTGTGTGTGTGTGTGGCGGGGTGGGGGTGGGGTTAGAAATTAGCATTTATAAGCTCATCACAGACAGTTCTCAGTGAAACACGGCCTCCAGGGGCTTCACGTCGATGGCGCGGCATGCTGGGGTTTGGGAGGATTTGATGGTTTCCCTGTAATTCCCTCCCAACGTCAGGGGCTTTGCTTTGTCCCCTCCAAGGCTCCTCGGTGCTGTGACTGGGGAGCCGACAGGGATGGGGAGTGAGTCTGAGTACGGGGGTGGGTACGCATGTGGGTGTGAGCTGAGAACGTCCGCCCTGCAGGAAGGCTCCAGAAGGTCAAAGTCGGAGGGGCCTAGCAGCTGCTTGCATGTGGAACCCACTCTGGGACGTGCTCCTCTCCCCTCTCTCCCTGCTCCTCCCTGTCCCGCCCAGAGCCACATCTTCCTGGCGGCTGGTCCTGGCTCTGCTTCCCAGGCTTCGGCCCTGACCAGCCCCGGGGTCGCCCGAGGCTCCCCTTCCCCTGACTCTCGGGGAGCTCAGGCCTGAGCCCCGGGTAGAGATCACGTAAAACCTCGCCTGTGTGTTTGTTGTTTTCTTGGCTCTTCGCCTTCATGCCGCCGGCCGTGTGGCTGCCAGGCCCCGCCGTGACCTCGTGGAAGGCCTGGGCTCCTGCCGTGGAAGGCGGTCCGCCCGCTTGTACTGTACACAGAGGGCAGAGATGGTATCGAACCGGCATGGGGTGGCATCCAGGAGCCCGGAGCCCTTCTCCGTCCTTCAGCTCCACACACCGTCTGGTCTCAGCTCCTGTCCCTCCGGAGGGCAGGGACCTCAGCTTTCCCTGGCAGGGAGCTGGGAGGAGGGCGCACGGGGCGTCCCTGCAGGCCCTGTAACCAGCAGGCTGCTGTCTGCTCCTGCTCTGGCAGCCTGGCCTTGCTCTTACTCTCCGAGGAGCGGAGGCGCTGAAGCCAGGAGGGCTTGGGACGCTGGTAAGAGCCTTCCTTTTTTTTTTTTTTTTTTTAATGTATTTTATTGATTTTTCACAGAGAGGAAGGGAGAGGGATAGAGAGTTAGAAACATTGATGAGAGAGAAACATCGACCTGCTGTCTCCTGCACACCCCCTACTGGGGATGAGCCTGCAGCCACGCTACATGCCCTTGACCGGAATCGAACCTGGGACCCTTCAGTCCGCAGGCCGACGCTCTAGCCACTGAGCCAAACCGGACAGGGCGGAGCCTTCCTCTTAGCTACGGGAGCCAGAGCTGCAGCCGGTGGTCTCCACACGCGTCCTGTCCTCCTTGGCCCAGGACCTGGCTCCTGCCTGGGCCGCTGGAGGGAGGGATGGTGCAAATGGAAGCTGCTTTGGGCGCCAGAATCCGGCCTGGCTCTGGGAATCCTTCTCTGCCAGGCATCCCTGCTCAGTTCTGCCTAGAACGTTAGGGCCTGGAAACCTACTTTCCACCTCATTTCCAACGTCTCAGGCCGGCTCTGAGGCCGGCCGCTCTGTTTCTTTCCTGAGCCTTCCTTGTCCTGTCCTGTCTCCCCTAAGTCCCATGAGTCCTTTCGGTCTTGGAAGAGTCTTCCTCTAGCAAGCCGTTCTGCGTTCTTCCCACCCACTGCCTACTCCCAAGGCCTCTGTCCTATCCTCCCCTTTACCTGCTTCTTCCTGGCGGGCCATTCCCCGTGTCATTGTGCACGTAGGTTCTCCCCAGCGTGAGAGGCACCGGGTCTGCCTCGTCTACAGGTTTACCCTCACTGCCTAGAGCTCGCCAGGCACTTACAAGGTTCGAATGAGAGGGGGCTTGTATTTTCTGAAACATTTTAGGGCATGAATGGGACCTAAATTTCTTTATGTCCAGGGACAGAGAAGAATTTGGTCTTGGAGCTATTGCAATTAGCTCATCTGTGTCTAGCCGGAACCGGTTTGGCTCAGTGGTAGAGCGTCGGTCTGCGGACTGAGGGGTCCCAGGTTTGGTTCCGGTCAGGGGCATGTATGTTTGTTGCAGGCACATCCCCGGTGGGGGGTGTACAGGAGGCGGCTGGTCGATGTTTCTCTCTCATCGACGTTTCTAGCTCTCTATCCCTCTCCCTTCCTCTCTGTACAAAATCAATAAAATATATTTTAAAAATAAAAAAATAAATCATCTGTGTCTAGAACCCGCACAAATATGTGCATCTGAAACTCAGGTAACGAGGGTATCTTTGGGGAAATAGGTTTGGAAATCATTAGTGAGCCCAGGAAGGAGGCCTCCTGCACCCCAATGTTGCTGCTCAAATGGCCTGGATTTGGTGTGACTGGAAAATTACAGGGGCCGGAGGACAGGGGGCTCACTCCACCGAGAGTTTCTTCCCCACACATTTACCCATTTGTCTCTCCTCACAGAAATGGCCTCCGGCTTCAGCCCCCGAGAGTGCGCGCTGTCTAAGCAGGACGGGCAGAGCTACGGCTTCTTCCTGCGGATCGAGAAGGACACGGCCGGCCACCTGGTGCGGGTGGTGGAGAAGGGCAGCCCGGCGGAGCGGGCAGGGCTGCGGGACGGGGACCGCGTTCTCCGCATCAACGGTGTCTTCGTGGACGGCGAGGAGCACAAGCAGGTGGGCGGGCGCCTGTGGCATTGCCTCCGGGGCCTCTCCGGTCCCCCATCCGTGCTGAGTCTTGTTTTGAGGTCAATCGAGATTTCCTGGCTGCCACGGGCAGGCAGGCAGGCACCCTGATGGCTGTGCTTCCTGCCAGCCAATCACGTCTCTCACAGAGAACTGCCCGCATTATCCCTGGATTTCAACCATGTCAGGCCTAAAATGCATTGCATATCGCTTAGCACACGGACTAATTTCATATCCATTATTTTGTTAAATCCTCATCGCAGCCCCAGAGGTACATGTTACCATTTCACAGAGGAGAAGTGGAGGCTCAGGTAGCTTGTGTTCAGGCAGCGAACACGTGGAAACGCCTGGCCTTACCCCAGCTCCACTGCCTGATGCCGTCTTTACAGACAGGGAGGACCTGCTGTGCTCTAAGGTGGCATTCACCCCTAGGAAGGACCGGCCCTTTTATAAAAACTATCTTCATTGATTTGAGAGAGGGAGGGAGAGGAGGAGAGAGAAACATCAATAATGGGAGAGAATTATTGATTGGCTGCCTCCTGCACACCCCCTAGTAAGACCAAGCCCTCAACCCTGGACATGTGCCCTTGACTGGAATCGAACCCGGGACCCTTCAGTCTGCAGGCCGATGCTCTATTCATTGAGCCAAACCAGCTAGGGCAGGACTGGTCCTTTTAAGAGTCGCCTGGGCAGGGGCGGCCACCCTCTTGATTCCTGATCTGTACCGGGCTCTCGGGAAGGCTGGGTGGAGATGGCGGGCGTTATCTCCTGACTATTCGGGTGTCAGGGACCCGCCATCAGAATCTCCAGGGCCAGGCAGCGCCCCTCTGGGGGTGAACGGGCTATCGGTTAAGGCTGTCCTCTCTCCGAGGTGGTGGATCTGGTCCGGAACAGTGGGAATTCGGTGACTTTCCTGGTTCTGGATGGGGATTCCTACGAGAAGGCCGTGGAGGAAAAGGTGGACCTGAAAGAACTGGGCCAGCATCCGAAGGGGCCGAGCCTGAACGATAAGAAGCTGCCCCCTGTGATGAACGGAGGCGCCCAGGCCTGGGCCCCGCCGCGGCTCTGCTACCTGGCCAGGGAGGGGAACAGCTTCGGCTTCTCTCTGAAGACCGTCCAAGGTGAGCCGAGGCGGGGCCAGACCACCGGCCTCCCGGGAAAACGATGCTGGCGGTGAATGCTTCTTGGGCTTACCTTTCCAGTTGCTATGGCTACCCAACAGCAGCCACACGCTCTCCCTCCTCGCCAGCCCTCCCCTGGCCTCGCACCATTGTGCAATGAGGGATCAGACATTGGACGGCAGCAGGGTTCAGGGTGGCCCTGGGTGCTCCTGGCCCCCCGAGTTTGTTTGGCTGAGCCTTTGAGGCCAGAGGGTTAGAGCACTGATGCTCCTTTGGTATTTTTTTCTGGCTCCCTCAGGGTGAGGGTGGAGGGAAAACTGGGAAATAGGCAAGAAAAAGGAGGTTCTTCATGATAGCTACTTAAAAAAATGTTTTTTATGGATTTCAGAGAGGAAGGGAGTGGGAGAGATAGAAACATCAAGGATGAGAGAGAATCATTGATTGGCTGCCTCCTGTACGTCCCCTACTGGGGATCAAGCCTGAAATCAGGTCATGTGCCCTGATCAGGAATTGAACTTTGACCTCCTGATTCATGAGTTCACACTCAACCACTGAGCCACACCGGTTGGGTCTTAATAGCTACTTTCGAGTAAGAATCAATTTTTTCATCTCTTGGAGTACCCAGGCTGTCACTCATTTGTTTGAGAAATTCTTGTTGAGGATACTGCAAACCCCCCACCCTCCTATGACATTTAAGTTGAACCCGCTGCTGTGGACCAGCCTCACCGAGATGTGCCCTTGACCTTAGCCGAGAGGTACACAGTGATCTGAAAACCCCAGCCATCAGGAAGTCCTAGAAGTTCTGTTTCTGGAGTCTCAGAGGTGCGGACCGGCCTGTGCCCAGTTGACAATGGTTTTATGATCATGGTTTCTGTGGGACCAAGGCTGGAACCTCCTGGTTCCATCTCTAATTTGGCTCCTCCCATGTCCTGGTCCTGGAGAGGCACTGGCTGTGCACAACTCGGTCAGCGATAAAGGGCAAATCCGAGAGAACTGGTAGCGAGAGACACAAGCCAGACAGAAGGGGCAATTCTCAAGCTTGCCTGTTACTGGGCAGCATTTCTCGGAAGTCCACGGTCAGTAAGATGGTAAAAAACAGGTTCTATTCACTTGGCCCTTGGACTAGTGGGTGTGGCGAATGGCTTAGATCAGCTTCACGAAGAACATGTTTTCTTCATGACAAAGACCTAAGGAGGAACAGGCGAACTGGAAGGCAGTTCGCCCAAATCTTAGGTCTTGGGAAGGCAGAGTGTTAGCTAGTTACTGGTATTCCTTGCAAATAATGTATTTAGTCATTATAATGCAACTCTTTACCTCGACTGAATATCAGTATCTTGAGTAAATTGACAGCATTACTTTAAGACATCACACCACCTGCGAACCTGATGGCAGGCACGTATGTGCCCCTCCCTCCCTCCCTCCCTTCCTGTCTCCCTCTGAGCCTCTGTCCCCTTCCGCCTGCGCCCCGCCCATGACATTCCCGGCTGCCCTGTTGGATGGGTGATGACAGGCTGATTAAAGAGGACGGAATGGAGTGGGTGTCTTCCAATACCGCAGATGCAAAGAGAGGGGGCACGGGTCAGTGAGGCAGCATGGGGAGGAGGGGGTTTGGTTCTTTCTGGTTCAAGAGGCAAGTGCCACCTGAGGTTCCTTCTTGGTATCTAGTTGGGCTCAGAAATTCTGGTCAAATCAAGAGACCAGTTGAGTCATGGCAGCGGCAGCCTTTGCTCGGAGCTCTGGTTATAAAGTTACGTTGGAAGCTGAAGGCTATTGAGTTAGCTCTACAATGGGACCGTCTAATGTCGTATTGTCGGGAGAAAGCCCGTGAACGCTGTGCCTCCTGTGACACCGCCCCCCGCTCTCCGCAGGAACGAAGGGGGTGTACATGACCGACATCGCGCCGCAGGGCGTGGCCATGAGGGCGGGGGTCCTGCAGGACGACCGCCTGATCGAGGTGAACGGGGAGAACGTGGAGGAGGCCACCCACGAGGAGGTGGTGGAGAAGGTACTGTTCTCGCCGCCCCTTTCCCTCGCTCTCACGGGGGGGAGACAGGGAGGCAGGAGTGACAGCTTCTCAGGGAGAAACGCAATGACGGGAGGCTGTCCTTTGTATGAAGAGCAGTCAGCCTCGCTGGCGGCTTGAGCCGTGGTTAGGATTTGGGAATAAGGCCTTTGGGAGATTTGTATAATTTTGAAGAAAGTGTTTTAACTTTATCTTTTAAACCTTATTGGACCCGACTGTAGTAAATTTAATGTTGAATTTATAGTGCATTTAATGTTGACCCCATGCTACCAAACTACTTTCATACAAGCTGCAAGGTAGCCAGCATGGCGAGGCACAGAGAGCTACAGCGGGGAATTCTGGAAGGCAGCTCCTCCAAATCTTAGGGCCCCGTACAGCCCTGGACACCTGGCAAACAGTCCCGGGGTTCCCTTTAAGGTCCTCTGGAACCTTCTCCTGGTAGAATCATCCTTTACGGGCGAACTTCACTTTTTCTCCTTTTCCAAACTCCCTTTGCGGCTCTCACCCACGGCCCTCTCCGGGCTGTCTGAGTTCCAGCTCTTCCTGGGGTTCAGTTAGAGGGGCTCCTCCTTAACAAAGGCAAACACGGCAGCCGTGGACGTGGGGGGTGGACGCACACCAGCGAGGTGGCGGTAGGTGGCGGTAAACAGCGGGAGCCTGCGTCTCACACCCCACATTTCCTGTTGAGCCCAGAGACGGGGCACAGAGACTGGCCTGTTTCCCGGCATGGCTCCTGGAGCCGAGGCTGGCCTCACTGTGTGTGTCGTTGCAGGTGAGGAAGTCAGGAAGCCGAGTAGCGTTCCTGCTGGTGGACAAGGACACAGACCGGCACCACAGGGAGCAGAGCATCCCCGTGCAGAGAGAAGCAGCCAGCTTCCAATCACTGCCCCGCCAGCCCCGGCTGGTGGAGATGAGAAAGGGCAGCAATGGCTACGGCTTCTACCTGCGGGCGGGCCCGGAGCAGAGAGGTAAGGCAGGAGGGAGCGGGGCACTTGGCTCTTCATCCCAGCCTGACCCAGAGCGCCCTCAGGCCTGCCACCGGCACGGACAGGAGGGAGGAGCTGGAAAGCGTAGCTAGGGCAGCTTCTTTCTTTTTAAAGAAAATTTATTGATTTCAGAGAGGAAGGGAGAGGGGGAGAGAGAGAGAGACATCGATGATGAGAGAGAATCATTGGTCGGCTGCCTCCTGCATGCCCCGAAACCTGGGCATGTGCCCTTGACCAGAATCAAACCTGGGACCCTTCAGTCTGCAAGCTGACACTCTAGCCATTGAGCCAAATTAGCCAGGGCACTGGGTCAGTTTCCATATCACTTGGGGACCTGATCCTGGGTATCCTCCCTCCTCCCTCCCCCTCAGGTTTCCATAGCAGAAGGATAAGGCAGAATTTCGGATCTGAGCAGTAGTATGCTGCTAAATTGGCTCTGGGGCAGGGGAGGCCGAATTTATGGCATTTGTTGATGTTTGTGGTATAAATACCCCTACTGTGTCCGATTTCAAGCTACCAACATGGCACAGAGTGCAAAGCTGAGAAGCGTTGTGCACAACTGGTGCTTGAGCTGGAGGGGCAGCTGCAGCACAGCACCAGGTCTGAGGCACGGGCGTGGGTTGGGATCTCAGACTCAGACAGAAGCAGGAATCTTTCCAATTCCTTGTAACTCAATAAGGAAAGCACAAAGGTCCTCCTAGGGAAGGTGAATACATCACAGAATGTAGGTTCAGGCTGTGTAAGCTGTCATACACCTGGAGGTTTACTGTTTTTATTTTATACTAGAGGCCCGGTACATGAATTCATGCACAGGTGGGGTCTAGCCAGCCTGCCCTCAGTCAGGGTGTGTGTGGGGGTGATTGAATCCTGGTCAAACTCCCGGTTGAGGGGACAATTTGCATATTAGCCTTTTATTATATATAATGTGTACATATATTCATCAAATATTAATTTGGTGGGTATTATATAAAAACATCCCCAGGGCCTTTGAGAATATCAAGTGAATCAGATGCATTCTTTAGTTAAGGAGCCTCCTAGTTAGATGAGGTAACACATATGTCCATAACTGAAGGAACTGAAGGTTGGAGCAAGCTTTTCTCACTTGAAAGGTACTGGGAGGCCTCACAATACAGGTGCCACTTGAGCTTGGGCTTCGTAGTATGAATAGAATTTGGATAAGAAAGGCTGTCCCGCCCTAACCAGTTTGACTCAGTGGATGGAGCATCGGCCTGCAGACTCAAGGGTCCCAGGTTCGATTCTGGTCAAGGGCATGTACCTTGGTTGCAGGCACATCTCCAGTAGGGAGTGTGCAGGAGGCAGCTGATAGATGTTTCTCTCTCATTGATGTTTCTCTCTATCCCATTTCTTTCCTCTCTGTAAAAAAATCAATAAAATATATTTAAAAAAAAAAGAAAAGAAAAAAAAGAAAGGCTGTCCCAGAAATGATAGGAATTGTGTGAACAAATGAAGGACACACAGGCACAGTGTGATTGACATTCAGTGTGAAGCATAGTGTGATTGACACCCAGTGTGAAGCACAGTGTGATTGACATCCAGTGTGAAGCACAGGGAACCAAGTCAGAAAGGTCGATTGGAGAGAGACAATGAAGGATCTTGAATGCCCAGTGGAGGAGTTTGGACTTGATCTGAGAGTCTGAGGAGTTAAACGTTTTTTTGAGCAGTGCCAGACAGAAGAAAAAAATTAAGCCTACTGTGTGTTGGTTGCTTAATTACTCCTAATAATTCTGCAAGAATTGCTGAAGTTGGGGGCTTGGAGAAGATGCAGTGATTATATAATCACTGGGATCAATATCAGGCCTATTTAGTTCCAAAGCCAGTGCTCAGGCTGTTGCCCTGGGGAGTGACGTGGGCAGACACTGCATCCAGATGAGTCTGAAGGAGAAGACAAAGATGAGGGACAGGGTCAGGCACAGGAGCAGTTTAGGTGGAATTCAAGACAGGAACTAATTAATACACACTGCATGTCGGGGAAGTGGGACTAAAGAGAAGTGTACGATGTTAAAGTGGCATTGAAGGACGTAGCAGTTGATCACACATGGGGCGTGGGTGCTGAGGAAGAAGCAGCTGTCCAGTGTCTGATGGACAGTGGTGCTCCCGACAGGTGACCAAGAGGAGGGGCTGGGGAATAGATCACGTTGGAGGGATCTGCAGGATAGCCAGTTGGAGATGGCTAACAGCCAGCTGGAAAAGTGAAACAAAGACTTGTTAAAATTGTGCGAGGGCCAAAACAGGGGGAGCGATATGGAGGCATCTGGTGAAGGTAGTTCAGGTAAGGAAAAGGCTACAGACACAGCCTTAGCGTGCACACACAGGCAGTCCTAGGGTTTGATTTCTTTGGTTTGTTCTTCGCTCTGCCCTCCCCCACTTTTATGGCTCATCGTCTACCTAAGGCCGTGGTCGGCAAACTGTGGCTCTTGAGACACATGCGGCTCTTTGGCCCCTTGAGTGTGGCTCTTCCACAAAATACCATGGCCTGGGCTAGTCTATGTTGAAGAAGTGGTGTTAGAAGAGGTTTAAGTTTAAAAACAATGGTTCTCAAAAGAAATTTCCATCGTTGTACTGTTGATATTTGGCTCTGTTGACTAATGAGTTTGCCAACCACTGACCTAAGATATATGGATACAGGTATGCCCACTGACTTTCTGGAAACTTGCTGACCCTTAATGCTTAGCATGCTCTTTTGACAAGAGTGAGTTGGAGACACTTTTAGTAAAACATGATTCTTTTCTTTAAGACCCTTTCATGGTTGATAGTCTGGGCTTGTTCTTGGAGTGAGACCTGAGCAGGGGATTGAATACATGGGGGCCTTACAGGCTTCTATGGAGGCCAGTGGTCGGGATGGTGGTTGTACTCAGCAGGCCTACTCTATTTTATTAGGGCCTTGTGCTCTGGCAGGAAATCCTAATTTTTGAGGAGTCTTTCTGATAATTTATTGTTTTGGGCATGGTTAGGTCAATTCATCAAAGACATAGATTCTGGAAGTCCGGCAGAGGCGGCTGGCTTGAAGGCCAATGACCTGGTCATTGCTGTCAACGGCGAGTCCGTGGAATCCCTCGGTCATGACAGTGTGGTGGAAATGATCAGGAAGAGTGGAGACCAGACTTCACTGCTGGTGGTAGACAAAGAGACGGATAGCATATACAGACTGGTAAGTAATAGTCATCTATTCCTGCATTAAGGTGGGGTCCACTCACTCATGCCCTCAAACGTTGGCTAAGTTACCTTATTGTTAGCCAATGCTGGTTGGCCCATGAATAGCTTCTGTTTCTACCACCACGGCTACTCCATTGGTGAGCCCGTTGTGTCCGAGTTGCTATTCATTGCCAGCTGATGAGAGAGTCTGGTTGACCTCAACTGGCTGGGTCATTGTCTCTATTTGGTGGTTTAAGTTATCACTTTGATCTTCAACCTGGAAAGTGTATAATGACCATCGACCATCACTAAAGCTGCTTTGAAGTTCAAAGTGGCAGTGGTATGAGAATGCCATGTGATTGGCACATAAATTTAAAGTCCTTAGACTCAAGATTTTGAAAGAATTTGCATATAATTACATAATTACTCTTGGAGGTCTGAAGAAAGCTATGAACAGTTGTCTGGAAATAGGCAGAGGTAGATCTAACTCTCCTAAGGAGGGATTTTAAGCCATCCACCAGAAAGTTCCAGCCATCCCATGTAAAAGCCTAGACTGGGCTATTGAACAGCTTGTAATAATGTGAATGTGAATGGCTATTATACACAAGCAGCAGGCTTATTTTTGAGGGGTCTATGGGATGTAGCTTGATCAGATAGGGAAGCCGTCGGGAGCTAGCTTTTGGCTTAGGACAACTGGGAACAGGATAAGCCACTTCTGCAGTGGCTCCCACTTGGTAGAAAAAGTCAAGGCAGAAGGTCACCGCCCTTGCTGTGGTACAGCAGATTCTAGCACTGAATCCTTTCCAACTTCAAACCTTATGACAGAATCAGTTAACTATAATCTTAATGTTTTGGTTAAGAAAGAGAGAACTTTGATCTATAAAGATGACTGTCCCCATCTTCCTCCTCCCTCTTCTCCCCGAAGTAAGTTGCATGAACAGGATGTCTGAGACAACATCAGTGAACAGAGCAAACACCTGAGCCAGTTCCTGTAACACGGGAGACAGCCAAATATTTGAATGAGAACGAATGCAAACTCACTGTTTGATGCTATTGTACTTGCCTAGGATTAGCTGTTACTGTTCGACAGTTGGTTTGCTTGTCTGGGTGGTGATGTCAAAGGCATTTTTGCATGTAAGGAGTGACTGTTCATTCCCCACATTTTAAAGAGGGAAAGAAATGTAGAAGGTTTACAAGGGAATCGCTGGAAGGGCTGGAGTTAGTTGCACTGGGTAACTGAAAGGTTCTCAGCGAGGTGCTACTCTCATGTGGAAAGGAAGCGGCGGCCTTGTGGTTGGTGAGACAGATGGTAACCGGAGCCTCAGATCTAATTTTAGCCAGGCTGCTGAACGGGGCGATTTAGGGGGGAGCACACATTGTACCCACTTTCAGCTGCTTCATTTCCCACTCATCGCCTCACAAATGCTTTGGCACCTGTGGGCAGCAATTTATCGACTGACCTAGGATCTCAGCATACCCAAATCTAGCCTCTTCTCTTCAACTAAAACCCAGACAGCTAAGCTCTTTAAAAAAAAAAAATAAAAAAAAAATATTGATTTCAGAGAGGAAGGGAAAGAAACATCAGTGATGAGAACCATTGATTGGTTGTCTTCTGCATGCCCTCACCCTCCACCACCTGACTGGGGATCGAGCTTGTAACTTGAACATGTACCCTGACCGGGAATTGAACTGTGACCTCCTGGTTCATAGGTTGACACTCAACCACTGAGCCACAATGGTTGGGCTAAGCCTATATATATATATATATATATATATATAAAATCAGTCATATGTCCCGTTTAATGCTTATTCTATATTCAAGACCATCACTGCCTTCTCTGCAGGGATGTTGTGGGAGACGAATGGATTAGGAATATATAAAGATAGTGAGTGAGGAGCTTGGCATAACCAAATATCAGCTACTAGTTACAATAGCTAGTAAAATAGAGTAGAACAGATCACAGTGCTGGAGGGGTAGTGGGGGAGGAACCATGTGACCACATGACTGCTGCCCTGCCAGTTAGTTCACTCTTGTCTGCACTTGGATGTGATGTAGAGTCTTGCATTACTCTAAGTGTTTAAGGAGCTTGAAGTTCTCACTGAAGAGGAAGGCCAGATGGAGCTAACCTGCATGAGACAGAGGGCAAGTCGCTAATCCTCTCACCAAGTCAGAAGAAACCAGCAGTTCTGTTAGGCTCATTTTTGGATCCTTGTACCACATTTTATTTTACAGATATGTGCATTTGTTTACATGTTTATACATGTTACTCCACAACCAAGCTCAATCTTCCTTTATCCCTTTCCATGATTGTGGGCTGTAAAATGAAAAACTTTGCAGCCCACAATCATGTATGTGGAAGAGAGGAACATGTATGACATCTTATAAACTAAATCAGCACACTTAATAGTGTAATTATTCATATTTACAGTTAATGTTTTACCCCCTTTATTTCCCATAGGCTCATTTTTCTCCATTTCTCTATTATCAAAATCAACACCTGCCTAACGGTTCTGTCACGGAGGCCCCGGTTCCTGCACCTGCGGCCAGCTCCAGGCCAGATCATAAGCCTAGACTGTGCAGGCTGGTGAAAGGTGACGACGGCTATGGCTTCCACTTAAATGCAATTCGGGGGCGGCCGGGCCCATATGTCAAAGAGGTACGGCGACCTGGTTCCGCAGCCACACCAGGAGGGCGGGTCCTCCCTCACTGATGGCTTAGCAAACGGGCACACTGAGGGCCTACGTGGAGCGTCTCACTCCGGTTCAAATAATTGCTGCCATGGTCCCTGACCCTTTAAGATAGCTCAGTACAGCCTAAGCTCACATCCTTTATTCCTTATACATGTTACACTCAGTCGTCTGTAGACGCTTTCAGATCAGGTAGAGCTGGCATGCCGGTAGGTGACAGTCACCGTCAGCACTGACAGGGGGTGATGCTTGCTTGCTTCTGTGCACGCAGCCAATGCCTCTGCGCGGAGGGCCTGAGGGAGAGGACTGTCCCTAGAGCTCGCATGTTGGGCATGCAGAAGGGACCTGTGACGTCTGATGCCTTTAACCCAGAAGACATACAACACGAGAGCCAACCACTAACTCCACTTAGTGGAGAGCGGAAGCTGTAGCTTCCATAAGCAGAAAGCACTAGAGCCCTGACCCTGACTTCTCTCCCTCAAGGAGAAGTATCACAGCGAAGAGTAAATTCTCAAACCCTCATCTCCTGTGAGGGGAGCCAGCTCCCATTCCCGTGTCTGTGTCTGGACGTGAAAACTCCGCCCGTGTTCGCAGGTGCAGGAGGGCAGCCCTGCCCAGCTGGCGGGGCTGGAGGACGAGGACGTCATCGTTGAGGTGAACGGGGTGAATGTGCTGGACGAACTCTACGAGAAGGTGGTGGACAGAGTCCAGAGCAGCGGGAACAGCGTCACGCTCTTAGTCTGCGGGAAGAAGGCCTACGAGTACTTCCAGGCGAAGAAGGTCCCCATTGTTTCCTCCATGGCCGACCCCCTGGATGTGCCTCCCGATCCCAGAGAAGCAGCTCGGGCGGAGTCAGAGGTGGACTCACACGTGGCAAAAGAACGAGTGAGTGGGGACACATTTCTTTTATTTAAAAAAACATTTCTATTGATTTCAGAGAAAAAGGGAGAGGGAGAGAGAGAAATATCAACAGAGAGAATCACCAATCAACGGCCTCCTGCAGGCCCCCTGGGCACCAAGCCTGAAATCAGGGCATGTGCCCCAACTGGAAATCAAGCTGTGATCTCCTGTTCATAGGTTGATGCTCAACCACTGAGCCACACCAGCTGTGGTTTCCTCCCCTATAAAACAAGGATACTTTGTGGGACTGTTACCAGGATTATATTGACTAGAATATTAAAATGATTCGGATGGTGCCTGTGGCACAGTAAGCCTAAGAGGAATAGTGGTTAGAGACAGTGCCCTTTTTAAAATAACTGGCAGGTATTCAAGTTTTATTACTAGGAAAGAGCAAACATTATGCTGTATTTAGATTAGATAAATTCCATAGTAAATCTCAGTTTTTGTTGTCCATTTTCTTTTCATAGATGAACTTGAGGTCCAAGAGTGAAGTGACCTATCCAAGTTCATAAAGGAAACATTTGGCAAAGCCAAGACTCTTAAAGTTTAATATTGGTTTTCTTTCATTACATTAACGGAATTCCTCTGGTTGGCAACATAAAACTACTAATTTTTAAGGAACACCCGTCGTAGTCCGGGTAGGCTGCTGTAACAATACCGCACACAGCGCCTCTGTAAACAGCCTTCATTTCTCACATTCTGGCGGCCAAGCTCGAGGTGCTGGCAGATGGGTATCCGTGAGGCTTCTCCAGGGTGCACACTCGGACTTCTTGCTCTGCCCCCTCAGGCTGGGAGGAGCTGGGGAGCCCTGAGCCCTTTTTTTAAGGGCACCAATCCCAGCTCTGCCCTCCTGACTCAATCACACCAGAAGGCCCTACGCTCCCAATTCTCTCCCCTTGGGGTAAGGATCTCACCATATGAATGTGGGGGATACAAATATTCAGACCAAGGCACACACAATAGCCACTGACTATACTGCACAGTTCTTAACAGAGAGTACTCCTGTTGTCTTTTAAGAATTCTGTAATATCTCGGCAGGCAGGCAGTTATAGAAAGGAAATGGGTTAGTTTCAGACAGCAAGCTGCAAGCAAAGCTAGTCAGGTCACCTGGCTTCTAGCGATGACCCTCTCCCTGGCTTCCGGCCCCGCCCCGGCACTCAGACCTTCCCTTCTCTCGCACAGGCCCTCAGCACAGCCTCGCAGTCCTCCACCACCTCTGAGGACACCAGGATGTGAGGAGAGCTGTGGCTGCGCTGAGCTGTCTCTGGGTATTTAACGGGAGCCCTTTCCAAGGAATGAGCGGCTGCCACCTGCTGTCTCTGGTGACGAACCCTCTGGACACTGGCCCGTCACGTGCACTGCTTCCTGCTGTCACTTGTCTCGGGTGGCTACTGCGGATGCTCATTTGTGGCCACCTCCGGAGAAGCTGAGGCGGGACCAGGTTCTTCTCCTGTGCTCTCTTTCAAGCTGCAACTTAACTATCCTTCTCTGCAGGATGATCTCTCTCACGTCTATGGGCTCCTGGAGGCCAAAGGTGATTCATAAATCTGTACATGTGAAGCTGCTAATTAAAGGACTTAAGCTTGCCTATTAAAATTATGCTTTTTAAAGAATGTGTGGTTACTAAAATAAATGCCATTAAAAATGTCTCTTGAGTTGCTTGAACTTTCCTGTTAGCTGATCTAACCTGAACTGTTTTTGATAAGTATTTTATGCTTTAATTTTTGTTTTGTCTCTAAGGAACCAAAAAACAAAATAAAATTCAGAATAAGACCTTAGTAATAAACAGAGACTTCCTGGTAGTAAAATTAAGGATTTTCTAAAATGGCATTTCCAACATCTTCCTTTTACAGATGAAGAAATTGAGTCATAGGAGAAAAAAGTGACTTATTCCAGTTAGCAGTTACTCATTGTCCTACCCACAGTATGAGGGGCAGATGGGAAGAAAATACGAGCCATTATTACTTAATTGAATGTAGAGTAATTCACTCTTACATGATACTAAGTGAAAGGAAATCAGGAAAAATGAGACCCTTAAAATCTCTCTTGGTAGAATCTATTTCAATTGCATCCCATCCTAGCCCCAGGGAGGAGGAGACGAGCTCTTGGCTATTTTAATGGTAAGGATTGGGGAGGAGGTGGGAAGCTAACTCGTGTGAGATCACACAAGCAGACACGGAGCTGTCTTTGATGAAATGAAGCCAAGGCCAGACTTACAATCTCGGATTTTAATGACAGTCAGTCTCAGGGAAGCCAAAACCTTCTCCATGCGAACCTCCACTTCAGCAGAAACCCCACGCGCTTGGCCCAGCCCCGCAGACTCCGTTACCCGGTTCCGGTGTGCTTCTCCCCGCCGCTTCCTGGCTCTTTCCCACGCCCCCTCCCAACGCTGCACCGGCCTCGCCCCCACAGGAACTTCTGGCTGAGCATCAGCCACAGGGACCCGGCTCCCGTGCTCCGGCCAAGGCGCTCACGAGCACGGTATCGCCAGAGAAGAAGGCATAAGGTGCAGGTGGAATGGCTGCCACAGCATCTGGTTATAAAGTATTAGGCCTGGTCGCCTCCATTCCCCTCGTTCTATCTAAACGCTGACACCAAGGCCTGTTAGCGGTCCGCGCGGCCGAGCTCACGGCGTCATGTGCTTCTCGGGCGCCTGCTTGTGCGCCAGGTAGAGGAACAGGATGCTGGAGAGCGCGCTGACCAGGAAGATGACGTCGAACCAGCGGTGGTAGAAGCTGAACTGCAGCTCCCCCAGCACTTGGGTGACGATGGTGCGGTACTCCAGCGGCATGCTCATCCGGATCAGCAGCACCGAGGACACGAAGTACATGCCCTGCAAGCCAAGCACGCCAGTCCACACGTCACGCTGCATGTAGTGAGGGACGGGTCAAAGGTGCGGCTGACTATTTAAAAGTATAAAACACTCTGGTACCTCACAGTGCGAAGATGAAACCAGTTTTTACAACTCACCATGATCTGCGCTAACAGCAGGACGATGACGTTGGAGGACTTGCTGCTGGAGATGGCGTAGAAGAACTGCCGAGAGAGGGGAGAGGTGAGTGGGCAGCACGGCTGTCCTGTGTCCAGAACACGAGGAGCGTGGCTGCCAGTTAATCAAAGGTGTCACTCCCGTGCCTTACTCCCGTGCAGAACTACTGTACGACTAAGGCTATAAAGAAGAGACTTAGAGGGAAAGGCTTTAGTTGGTGGTTTTAAGTATGACATTGAGACACCGAAGGGTTACAGTGGCTAACAAGCTGTTAAGAGGCTGTGGTCACCTGACTTGGACATCACTCGAAACCATTAAAACAGGTTACCCCAGGCCCTCATCATTGTTCCTGGGCTCAGAGCTCTCTGCAAAATTGTGCCATACAACCCTCTCTCCTGTCCTTCCTCCGGCTCCTCTCTCCTTTCACTCCAACAGCTGGGTCTGAAGCCCTACCTCTTCCCAGAGGGTTTACCTTCCAGGAAGCCTTCCGCGCTGAGCAGAAAACAGCTGAGCATCCTGCTTCTACCTCACATCCTCCTCACAGGTGCCTCTCCGCTATTCTCCCAACCTCAGATACCGTCTCAGTCCTTCCTTCCAAGCACCATGTGCCAGGCGCTATTCTAGATGCTGCTGACATATCAGCCAATAAAACAGACTGTGGTCTCATTCTATGACCTTTGGTAACTGGAGTTATCTGATTATGTGATGTAAGTCGTCATCATCAATCCAGGTATCAGTTTAACTTCCTTTTTTTATTTTTTATTAAGGTATAAATCTCTTTAGAAATTATACCATTTTGCCAATGTCTTTTTAAAAAATATATATTTTTATTGATTTTTTACAGAGAGGAAGAGAGAGGGATAGAGAGTTAGAAACATCGATGAGAGAGAATCATCCATCAGCTGCCTCTTGCACACCCCCTACTGGGAATGTGCCCGCAACCAAGGTACATGCCCTGGACTGGAATCGAACCTGGGACCTTTCAGTCCACAGGCCAACGCTCTTATCCACTGAGCCAAACCGGTTTCAGCGAGTTTAACTTCTTAAAAATTCTGTTGTATGGCCCTGACTGGTTTAGCTCAGTGGATAGAGCTTCAGCCTGTGGACTGAAGGGTCCCAGGTTCGATTCCAGTCAAGGGCATAACGTTGGTTGCAGGTACATCCCCAGTGGGGGTGTGCAGGAGGCAGCTGATCGATGTTTCTCTCATCAATGTTTCTAACTCTCTATCCCTATTCCTTCCTCTCTGTAAAAAAAAAAAAAAAAAAAAAAAAAAAAAAAAAAAAAAAATCAATAAAATTAAAAAAAATTTGTTGTATGTCTTTTATTATTTTAATATTTTTTATTTTATTTATTTTTTTAGAGAGAGAAAGGGAGAGGGAGAGCACGTGAGCGAGCAGGAGAGAAACATTGGTCGGTTGCCTTCCCCACGCGCCCTTACCAGTGACTAAAGCCTGGCATGTGCCCTCATGGAATCGAACCAGGGACTTTCGGTGCACAGGACACCGCTCCAACCAACTGAACCACGTGGGCCAGGGGCTGTTGTTGTCTTTTAAATATTTGTGACTGTTGTTTAAGAAATCTTAAATAGGTAAAATGATCTCACAGTGCACATGTCCTTAAAGAGTAATTACTTTGATTTGTGATAGGACGTACCTTGGTAAGAGTGATCAGCAGTCCTCTGATGGATGTGACAATGATTATTCCAACCAGAATGAAGGAAATGTGTTGGGACCAGAACTTCACCTGCACCAAAATAGAAAGAATAAATTTGTTAAATCTCTGTTCAGAGAGATGTGAAGATTAAAACGATGCATTCTGGCCCTGGCTGGTGGTTAGAGCACTGACCCATGCACCAAACGGGCGCAGATTCAACTCCTGGTCCAGGGCACATACCTGGGTAGCAGGTTCGATCCTCAGCCCAGATAGAGGCATGTGTAGGAGGCAACCAATCCACAGGTCTCACACTGATGCCTCTCTCTCTATCTCTTTCACTCCCCCTTCCCTCCACTCCCTTCCACTCTCTCTTAAAAAAAAAAAAAAAAAAAAACCAATGGGAAAAATATCCTCTGGTGAGGATTAAAAAACAAACCAAGAAGAGGATGCCCTGACTGCTATGTGACTGAGAGGTAGCGTCTGCAGGCCCTGTGGGAGGAAAAAGAAGTGGGGAAGAGAGCAAGTGGCAAGGAAAACAGCTCCAGGAGGAGGAAGACAACAGTGGCGTCTTCATTAGCAGACAAATTAAGACGTAGGGACAGAAGAAAGTCAAGTGCAGTGAAGGGATGAAAACAACAGGAATAAATCGGAAGAAACACAAGCCTAATGTATAGCTTCACAGTGAAAAGCACAGACTAAAAGGAAACGAAACGGCAGCTTGATTACTTCTATGACCTGTGAATGTAGTTCTCTGATCACCCAAAACGTTAAGGAACTTTTCTTTCTTAATAAGAGACTTAGACATTCTCGGCTATGCTCCAGAAAGCAGTCAGCCTTCATCTGAATCACGTGACGCCTTTTCCTCCTCTGGCACTGTTTCCCGTGAGAGGCAGCGAGGCCCTGTGCGTGCTTCCGGGAGCTGCTCTCGCTGCCGCCTACAGGGTCCTTCGGAACGGTGCAGTGCGCGCGCAGGCGAGTTACCGGTGGGGTGTGGATACACACCAGCAACTGAACGGCCTCGAGAAGACTGAGAAGAGCATTTCTCAAAATTCAGCCCGGTCAGAAATTCAAAAGAGGAGAACACATATGCTAGACCAGTGAAGCATACTTCCCAGCATAATTCATGTAATTCTTGAAGGAAAGAGACCACACTCCTTCAAAGGAAGAAGGACACACTATTGGTCTACCAAAATGTGTGTTTGGCCCTGGCTGTGTAGCTCAGTTGGTTAGAACATTATGCCAATGAGCCAAGGTTGCAGGTTCAACCCCTGGTCAGGGCACATACAAGAATCAACCAATGAATGCATAAATAAGTGGACAACAAACCAATACCCCCCACCCTCTCTAAAATCAACCAATCAATACAATTTTCTAAAAGTGTGCTCTAAGCTGTTCTTAAAGGCTGGAGCTTAAGGTGCTCTGGTTCGTTTTCATATCATCCAGCCACTGGCTGCTGGGCAGCATGCCATCTGGTGAGAATCACAGCACAGCTAAAATGAAAGGCCCTCGGAGATGGGAACATAACACGGTCTTATGATCAGCCAGAATCATTGGCCATCTACATACCGAGAAAATATACTAGTCTACAAATAAAGATGTTACATTTAAATTAGGACAAGAGTGTATTCAATGATGGTGGTATTCTAAAACAGGGAGAAAGATGACAAAAATTTGTGCATAGGTTACACTTACCATCTTTAGCGCATAGTCCAAATTATCAAGATAATTTTTATACTAGAAATCATTTCAGTTCTAACACAGAACACCAATTAGTAGTTAATATTCCACCAGAGGATCAAAGGTGTGCTTGAAGATCTCTGAGAGACGTATGTTAGTATTTGGTGGGAGAAACTGGTGAGTCGTAGCTGGCTACAGAGGAGTAGAGGCAGAACTAGAAATACCAGCAACCAGCAACACGACAACAGTAAGTCCCAGCCGTTACTTATGTTTATACCTTTTACCAATCTGGCATATGAACATGTCAAAATACAGCAGGAGAGTAGGAAGAACAAAAGCAGAGCCAAGTCCCCAAGGAGTTAGAATCTGAATTATAATTTACAGCAGATAAAAGAGAAAGGAATGACAAACCAGGATCTGGGTACAGCTCTTACGTCAAATTGGATTCCCAGGTAATTCACAGTGATCTCAATGCCTCTTGTGACAGGGTCCGTCTTCCCCACTCGGTCAAAAACGATATTAATGGTCGCCTGCAGAGACAGACACTTTACATTAGAGCAGTTCAACAATCACCTACTATTTCAAAAAGGTGATTCAAAATAATGAATTAGTCACCATAACACATCTCACTGCTGGATGCTCCTAAAAATGAAATTGGACTCGGTCTAAATCAGATGTAAGAATTCTTTTCGGCTGTCCACAAAGACAAACAAAAGTCCCTATCTCTCTTTTCTGTGCAGAGAACAGGGAACAGGCAGCGGCATGTCCTCCTGAACTCATCAGAGCCAGGAAGCCACACGGTGGGAGGAGAAGCCACCGGGTGGGAGAGGAAGCCATCCGGTGGAGAGGAAGCCAGGTGAGGAGAATAAAGGAAACCCGGGGCCATTCCCTGTGGTTACTGCCCGAGTGCTCTAACAGCAATCACTAAAGATTTAGAGAATTACAGTTAATAAGCCAACAAAGCAGAGCAAATGGAGTTATGAAAAAAGCCAATTAACCCAAAAGAAGGCAGAAAAAAAGGGAAAAGGGAAGAAAACATTGAGACAAATAAAAAACGTGTAGTATTATGGTTGTTTTAAAGCAAACCATATTAAATGTAAATGGTCAAAACCAGGGGTTGGCAAATGCTGCAATTGTAGCAGGAGAGAAGCCACAGATGATGTGGACAAATAGGCTTGGCTGTGTTCCAACAAAACTTTATTTACAAAAGCAGGTGGTGGCTGGATCTCACCTGTGGGCTAGATGTCTGACTGCTGGTCTAAACATAGCAATTAAAAGGCAGAGATGGTCAGACTGGATAAAAAACCAAGGCCTAACTAAATGTTGCTTATAAGAAATTCACTTTAAATGTAAAGTACAAATAGGTTAAAAGGAAAAGAATTGAAAAAAAAATATATTATGCCAACACTAATAAAAATAAGATGCAGCCGAAACTGGTTTGGCTCAGTGGATAGAGCATCAGCCTGCGGACTGAAGGGTCCCAGGTTCGATTCCGGTCAAGGGCATGTACCTTGGCTGTGGGCACATCCCTAGAAAGGGGTGTGCAAGAGGCAGCTGGTCAATGTTTCTCTCTCATCGACATTTCTAGCTCTCTATCCCTCTTCCTTCCTCTCTGTAAAAATCAATAAAGTATATTTAAAAATAAAATAAAATAAAATAAAATGCAACCTCCTTTTCCGGGCGACCTGAAAAGGAGAAGGAAGGAGATGCTCCCATATGGGAAGGATTGGCTTCTCTGCTGACTCCAATGGGATTTGGTGCCCCCACCAAACTCACTTTGCTCTTTCTGCCATCACCAAGGAAAAGTACCCAAACTCTGACAGGTGAAGAGAATACACTTACCATGAAGATTTTCCAAACACAGTAAATAGAGAAAAAGTAACCCAGAAAATTAAAATATTTCCCCTTGAAAGTTTTGGAGTATTCTATTCTCTCCTGAGGGAAAACAAACAAAACATGTCAGTCTCAGCAAAATGTAAGTTTATATATTATATAACAAAAATGCATTACTTGTTCAGGCTAAACAAAAAACCACACATGGTAACAATAATATTAAAAAAGTAATAGTAGTGGGCAACGTTTACTGACTACTACTTTAAGCCAGAGAGTGAGACAAACATCCTCCATGCATTATCTTCATAATGGAAGCTGAGAGGTTAAATAACTTGCCCAAGGCCACCTAGCTAGTGAGGAGGGGAAGGTAGGCTCAGGTTTATAGATCTGTCAAGGCTTCTGTTCACTGGTCCTCTGGGGCTACTCCGGTAGAGTGACCCTCAAAAAGGATAAAAATAGTTGGAACAACTTTAAGGAAGAGATTTCTGCGAATTTAAATTGTGATGCATTTTAGGTATAAACAGAAGAGTTACTTCTTGCCGTAGATCACTCTTGTTCTGCACCATTAAAATGGGGCTGGGTCATGGCCAAAACGTGTCTTACTGCTTCTACCCTATAACTGACTTGTAAGGGAATGAAGAGCAATCAGGAGCTGCCATCCTGATCCTGGGTCGGGTGGGTGTGGGGTAAGGGGGTGGTTGAGGGCTGGGGTAAGGTTTGTGTGCCACCTTCCTCGATACTGAAAGCCTCTTCTGACTACCCCCCTGCTTCCCATTACTGAGCATTCCATTAGGGGTTTGGCTAGTGGGAGGAGCAATGTCATGGGGGGTGCTGACTTCTAGTGCTCCGTGGCTAACAGTGAAGCTGTGGAGTGGCTCTTGCACTGACTGGCCGTAGAGGACACCAAAAGGCAGGGAGTCTTGCTCTCACGTTGATCACATTGACAGAAGCACACTTCCCTTCCCTTGCTCTGTACCTTGGTAGCATGTAGATCAGCTGTTTCCAGAAAAAGCTGCCTGCTTAGTTCTTCCAAAGCATCCACTTCCTGCTGAATAAGGTTAAGATCTGGCACAGAATAGGCATCAAGGTTTAAACCACATAGAAGTTTCAAAAGATAGAAAGCGTATTTTTTGGTTTCTCCTATAGTGTGGATTCTAGGAACTGCCTAGATTTTCAATTTCCTGCTACATCACTATTACAGAAGTCCCCCATTTCTCCCGCCCTTGCTCCCCTGCACCCCACCCCTGCTCCACCCCAGGCCTTCACCACACCATTGTCCTTGTCCATGGGCTGTGCACATGGCACACAAGTTCTTTGGTTATTCTCTCCCCGACTCCCTCCACCCCCTTCCCTCTGAGATCTGTCAGTCTATTCCATGCATCCATGCCTCTGGATCTACACTGAGTGGCCAGATTATTATGATCTCTGAACAAACAAGAATCTGGCCACTCAGTGTGTGTGTGTGTGTGTGTGTGTGTGTGTATGTGTGTGTGTGTGGCATAGGTGGGGTCCGGCCAGCCTGGCCAGGGGGAGGGGACATGGGTGGTTGGCTGACCTGCCTGCTGGTCAAACTCCTGGTAGAGGGGACAATTTGCATATTAGCCTTTTATTGTATAGGATATACACTGAGTGGCCAGATTATTATGCCTTCAGAGATCATAATAATGTGGCCACTCAGTATATTTTGCTCATCAGTTTATTTTGTTAATTAGATTCCACATAGGAGTGAAATTGTGTTACTTGTCTTAGCTGACTGGCTTATTTCACTCAGCATAATACTCTCCAGGTCCCTCCATGCTGTCTCAAAGGGTGAGAGTTCATTCATTTTGTACAGCTGCATAGTATCTCATGGTGTAAATGTACCACAGCTACTTAATCCACTCATCCACTGCTGAGCACCTGGGCTGCTTCCAGATCTTAGCTATTGTCAATAATGCTTCAGTGAACAGGGGTGCCGACACTCTTCCTGATTGGGGCATTGGGTTTCTTAGGATACATTCCTAGAATAGGATCACTGGGTCGATGAGCCACATTAACTGAGTTTATCTTTACTAACTTCTAATACAGTTTAGGATTTAAAGACCTTCTTTCATTCTTTAGAGACATGATCTTCTATTATCCTCACAAAAATCACATGAGCTAGGTGTTATTACCCATTTTGCAGATGAGGAAAGTAAAGCTTAGAGTCAAATAACTTGCTGGAAGCACACAGCTAACAGGCATGGATGCAAAGCCAGATCCGTCCTACTCCAGGCCTGCTCTTCCCGTAACACTGTGCCCCTTTCCAGATCAGCCAGGCCATGCTCCTCTTCTCTCCAGTTAGGAAAACAGGCCCAGAGAAGTTAGAGAATCCTGGTGCTTTTGTTGAGTTGACTGTCACTAAGATAGCTTCATCCTCAACTTTTGCTTCCATGGAATTTTATGTCATAAGAACAGTAAAGACACCCTTCTGAAAGAGCACTGACGTTAACCTCCATCTTCCTTCCGCTGAGATTTCCCACGGTCTCACAGGTCAGCCTACGGGGCCTTCCTCAGTAGTGGCCGCTATGGCACGATGCAGCCGACAAACAATAGAAACTTTTACATGTGCTTACATTTAATCATTTATAACAAGAACAGGCCACATCCTTTTCCTCCAGGTGAAGCAAAAGGGAGTGTGTGCTCCCCAGGCAGAGAACTGGATTATGCTACCTCAGTGCTGGGTCCCCAAAGTGCTGACCTAATAGCCAGAGAGTCACAAGGAGATGTGGCCCCTCAGTGTGGGAATTGGTTTAACACTAACCAGCAGGGTCAAGAATAATCCGTTAACCCAACCTCCTGATCTTTAGACCAAAAAGTCACTGGAGATACAGAGCTGCTTGGAATTTGTTTAGGGAACTGATTGTGTAAGAAATGGGCCCCTTGGCGTTCCAGACAAACCATCCCCGTGGGGAGCGTTGCGTGCTGCCCTCGGTGCTCAGAGCAGTGCAGCGGAAGGGCCAAGAAAGGGAGCCCGCAGTTCCGCTCCGTCTCTGCCACAAACCACTGCGTGACACCTGCCTCTGAGTCTGTTTCTCATCTGTAAACAGGAAGACTCACTTGTCAGGACCCTTCAGCCCATGTGAGGATCCTCTTGGGGATTGGAAAGATGGCTGAGCTTGCCAGTTGGACCCTGGGCGCAGCCAGCTGCCTTGGGAGAGACTATGCCAATACTCCTTTCCTCCTGCCCCGGGCCGGAGCTGAGAAAGAGAATGAGGGCGCCTTTGGGGCCCAGACTTATTGGGAGGACCCCTCGGCAGTGACGCCTGTAGCGTCTGCTCGCTGTGCTGCGCACCTGAGAGACTAATGCTGAGTGTCACGCGGAACCGGGGAAAGGATCAAGCTGAGGGTGGAGGATACTCTCGCTTCCTGGAGCGGAAGTGGTGATGCTCTTTATCATCCCCCAGAATCCCGACGGCTTGTTATGCACCTCCCCCTTCTGGAACATGGTTCTCCGAGTCATTGCCATCCTGGAATGAAAAACAAACAAATTCCCAAATAACAATTCGGCAAGCATGAGCCCTCAGTCATTCCCACCCACCTAGTCTCAGGCCCGCCGCTCCTCCTGCTGAGGTGCTCAGGGAAGGAGGCAGCTCGGGGGTCCCCGCTCCCCACCTCACGGCTGAGGGGAGACTGCGCGCCCCGGGCGATGTGGCCTGGGCGAGGAGCGCGGAGTGGGGCTGAGGGAATACATGTGAGGACTGATCGCCACTCAGAAGCTGTGAGCCCTTAGGGTTTTCATTTCCTCCTCTATGGATAGGAAGAAAGACCCAGCAGTCACACAAAGCTGGACTCTTCTAAACGCCATCCCCCCTAACTCCACTGTCCTCCACTGAGTCCGCTGACAGGAAGCTCACTCCGCCTTCCTCTTGGCCTCGGGTCTGCAGTGGCTGCCTCAGCGGAGCTGCTGGCAGTGCCGGCCCACACTAAGGACACCAGGAACGGCTCTGTGCGCCCTCTCTCCACTGCCTCTCCCTCAGCCCAGCACGGTAAGCTGAAGTCACTTTTACGTGGGAGAGAGAGACCTTCCTCCTTATGTACATACCTGCTCCAGCTTTCCCGACCATGCAAATGGGGGAACTATTTAAAGTACAGTGCCAATGGGGGAGAGGCAGTGGGAGAGAGCCCACAAAGCCATTTCTAGTTTCCTTAGCCCAGTACAACAAACATAAGAACAGGGTCTTTGGCCGTAGCTAGTGTGGCTCAGTGGATAGAGCTTTGGCCTGCGGACTGTAGGGTCCTGGGTTTGATTCTTGTCAATGGCACATTCCCCAGGTTGTGGGCTCGATCCCTAGTAGGGGGCATTCAAGAGGCAGCCGATCAAGGATTCTCTTATCATTGATGTGTTTCTCTCTCTCTCTTTCTCTCTCTCTCTCTCTCTCTCTCTCTCTCTCTCTCTCTCTCTCTCTCTCTCTCTCTCTCTCTCTTCCTCTCTGAAATAGAATATATTTAAAAACAACAAAAACAGTCTTTGTGAGGAAAACTAAGATCATGAGTATATAAGTGGGTCAAAGCCTACAGGCCTAAAATAAACCAGCATGAATCTAATACAAGTAGCGTAGTAGAACTAAAGAAAAATTTAACTCAGGAAAATTTTTGGGAGACGAGACGGAAGTGCTGAGGAGGAAGAAGTAGGCTGGTATTTATGCAAATGTACCAATGGGACCAAATACCAAACGGCAGTTCTATGGGTGACATTTTTTAAGCTATTGGTTAAAACAGCATTAACAGTAAAGAGTATTAGGTGTGCTGTCCACGTTGACTTAGCCATTCCTCAAAAAGGCCTTGCCTGGGATGGAACATAGCTCCAACCGGCTCCTCTGCCTCTCCCCTAACCACCCCCCCCCGTCAGTCAGCACTGCTGGAGATGTACCCGATGAGCAAGAAGCGGCTCAGACCTGGGAGACTCTGACTTGACAAGACTCACCCCCATAGCTTCTCCATTTTCACAGCCGGGAAAGCTGGAGCGGGTGTGCACATAGGAAGAAGGTCTCTCACCCACTTAGAAGCTTCCCATGCCGGCTGAGGGAGAGGATGGGAGAGAGGACGCACAGAGCCACTGCTAGTTCCCTGGGTCCCGGTGCTTACAGCACGGCCCACACCGCTGGCTGCCAGTGGGACTGGCGGACACGCAGGGGCCCCCCCGCAGGCCGAGGCAGGGCCACTAGAAGTGAGAGCTGGCCGCACCCTGACAAGCCTGGCCTTGTTTTAACAATTCACTTTCACTTTTATCATCTGCCTCTAAACTAACTTTCTTTTTATCAAATACACCGCATATAAAAATATGTTACTATATTCAAAAACGAAAAAGGAACAACTAACGCCAGAGGTGTGGTAAAGGAATAAAAACCAATAGGAGGTGCTACAGACGCGGCTGACTTTGACCTTGAACTTTTCTTCCCTGGCACCGCCACCACCACCAGATCATCATCACTATTATCTCTCTATAACAGGGGCAGGCCCGGAGCAGGAACATATCGATTATTAGCCAGATGCCTTTCAAACCCACAATCTGGAGCAGCATCAGCTCTGGGCTGGGGTGTGCGGGTGTCTTAAGTGAAGAGGCTGTTTCCTGTGGTTAAATGTGCTACCTCACTGCTTTCTGGTGGGAGTCAGCAACTGCTTTTCTTTTCCTAATTTATTATTAAATTCTTACCTGAATATATGTTAATTGATTTGAGAGAGAGGGGAAGAGAGAGAGAGAGAGACAGAGAGAGAGAGAGAGAGAGAGAGAGAGAGAGAGAGAGAGAGAGGGAGAGAAGGGAGTTAGGGAGAGAGAAACTGCAACTGGTTGCCTCCTGTATGTACCCAACAGGTGATCCAACCTGAAACCTAGTATGTGCCCTGACTAGGAACCGAACTTGCAACATTTTTGGCATACAAACAACAGCCACCCTCACCTGGCCAGGCTGTTTTCCTCCCTCCCTCTGTATTTTAATAAAACTTTTTTTAAAGTTTTTTTTTTCTATGCAAAGAGAGAAAGAGAGAAACACTGATATGAAAGAGAAACATCAATTGGTTGAAGACCCACCCCATGCACTCCAACCTGGGACTGAACAAACAATCTGGGCATGTGCCCTGGCCGGGATGGGACCGGTGACCTTCCGGGGCATGGTATGATGCTCAACCAACTGAGCCACACCAGCCAGGGCATGCTTTCCTTTTTTAATTAAACATTTTATTTTGATAAAATTTTAGGTTCACATGTGGTTGTAAAATAATAGAGAGTCCATGCTTTCCCCAATGGAAACAACTTGCACATTTACAGTACATATCACAACCAGGGTGTGACACTGACACAGTCAAGGCACAGAACATCTCCATGACGACAAGGATCACACATGCTGCCCCTGTACAGCACACTCCCTCCCACCTCCAGCCCCCCTAAGCCCTGTCAACCACGACTGTTTTCCATTTCCATTGTGTCACTTCAAAGGTGTATGTAAGTAGAACCACACAGCATGTAACCCTTGTGGACTGGCAAATCTGTGTCCGGGGTAGACCCCCTTCTATTATAGTTTTCTTGGGCTGTCTGGGGTTTACTTTGCATATGTATTTTTAATGAGGAGGCAGAGATTTGGGCAGAGTTTGTATGTAGATTCTAGATCCCATCCTTCCTCATTTCTCTTGCTTTCAGAAATGTCCTTTTAGATGTCCAGTCCTTGTGCTGATTTGAACTGTATTGACCTGTTTGCATGAGTGGATGCTGGAGGGTGGGTGGGGCTGAAAAGCACTCCAGGCAAATAAGCCCCACACAGGCAGGTACCTGAGACCCTTCCCAAATCTCTGCCTCGCTCGTTATTTTCCAGGGCTTTCACATATTTGTTTTTAATCATTTTTAGTTTTTATGACTTTCTATTGAAGGAATTGCTTGAAATCTTTATATAGTGCCATTCTGGGAAATTTCCTATATGATGGTGTTTTAAAATTTTATTAACTTTATTTTTATTGGTTTCAGAGAGGAAGGGAGGAGGAGAAAGAGATAGAAATGTCATTGATCAGTTGCCTCTAGTGCGCCCCACACTGGAGTTGAGCCTGCAGCCCGGGCATGTGTCCTGAGCGGGAATCGAACCGTGACCTCCTGGTTCACAGGTGGACACTCAGCCTCTGAGCCACGCTGGCTGGGCTCCTCTGCTATGTCTGACAGCAGCTGTGGCTGGACTTGACATTCCACAGGAGAATATGTATCTTTCCCAGATCTCTACACATTTTCAAGAGAGACTAAAATATCCAGGATAGAGGTTAAGATTTTTCTTTCATAACTTTTACATGGTATAGACTCTAGTTTCTTTTGGATGTCACAAGCTATGTGAAATACCGTGGGTAGAAAGGGGCCCACTGGCGTTCTACAAATGAGTATTGCTCAAGACCTCTTAGCAAGTTAATAGGGACGAGATTTAGTTCAAGTTCTTTCATTATGCCATGGTGTAGTTGCACACCTATATTTTCTATCTCCTACAAAACCCTAATTTCAAAATTGTACTACTACTTTGTGAACAGAGACTATATCATAAGTTACCGACACAAAAGCTTTAATATCTAAGTCAACAAAAGGACAAAGCAAAATGAATCATTAATTCTCTCAAGCAGGAGAAAGATGAAAGGCTTGATCACTATATCACTATGGTCACTCTATTTGAACTGGTTTTTATTTTTAATCCTCAGCTGAGGGTATTTTTCCTATTGACTTAGAGTAGAAGAGAGGAGGGAGGAGGAGAGAGAAGGAGGGAGAGAGAGGGAGGTAGAGAAAGAAACAAAAAAACATCAAAGTGAGAGAGACACATTGATTGGTTGCCTCCCATTCATACCCTGATTGGGGCCAGGGATTGAATCTGCAACAGAGATATGTGCCCTTGACTGGGAATCGAACCCATGACCCTTTGATCTGTGGGTCAATGCTCTAACCACTGAGCCCACCAGCCTGGGCTGAACTAGTGTTTGATGAATGTTTCCTAAATAGAGCTCATCTATATTCAGTGTTCCATGTGAGAAGACAGTATACCTTTCTCCTGTCTCCATTTTCAACCATCAGCTTTTAGTTTCTAACAGATGTTATTTTTCTTGTATGTCACCGCACTATGGACCTCTGCTGTTAAATTGGAAGGCAGTCTGTGTTTGTGAGAACAGCTTTTCTATATTTTGGTAAATAACAAGGCCATTGTGTGAACTCCCGGGCCCCTCGTATTACTATGCCAGCTGTCGGTCTGCCCGGTTGGCTGCACTGGGTACACAGCTGTGGTAACTAGGTCAGGTTAGGAGGCTGGTTCACCTGAGAGCCACTCAAATTAATAAGACCAATCGCAGCACCCAAACCACCCCAGATCCTCAAACAAGGTCAGTAGGGGTACATCAGAGCCAATGACCCGCCAGAACTAGTGACAAGGTGGCTTACAAGTACACATCCACACTTGACATGGGTAATGACTTTATATTCATCTTAGTATGAATAAAAGAAATATAGTAAAAGGGAGAATGTTCTTAGGAATCAAAATAGTATTGTTTCTATATAAATGTCTTCTAATATTGAATACTGTTGTTTTTATTATGTTTTTAAAATCTGCATTCATACTCATTCATGTAAAATCAATTATATAGACTAAATAAAAACAAAACATTTAAGTAAATAAATGTATACCTATGTGTATCTGCTTTCAATATCCTAGTAATTGGTCGGTGAATCTGGGCCTCTATCATTCGAAGAATGTCTATTGTTATTTCTTACATTAAGGCTTCTTTGACTTGACCTTGGGTCTCATTATAAAAAGGTGTTGAAGGAAGGAATATGAAATGCAAAACCACTTATGCAATTAAAAACCTGTCACCAGTATTACATGGGCAATAATGACTTGAATAAAGACAGTGGACTAACAAGCTTCATGAAGGCAGAGACTGAGTATCCTGTTCACCTCTGTATTTCTACATATATTCAGCCTTTAGTACAGTGCCTGGAGTAAACTAGGCTTTTTATAATTACTAAGTAAATGGATACGTGAATAATAAATGAAGGCAAAGCATTAAAAGCAAACGGTTATTCTGTAGGTTATTAATAAGTTCTATAGTTTTCGTTAGCTATGAATTATAACTCATTGTTCTAATACCTTTACATGTCAGTTCACTATTATCTCTATTTTACAGATGAGGAAACCAAGACATAAGGAGACAGAGTACCTAGTTTAAGGTCATTGTGAGTTGTAGGCCAAAGATTTAATTCAGATAGTCTGAGTCTAGAGCTTATGCTTTTACCAAGAAATGCCACTTCGAAAACATACAGTTTAAACATGCTTTTAAAATAATAAAACAATAACAACAGTTGAAGACCTGAAGAATTTTTTTAAGTAGTTAAGAAAAAGGAAGTTGAAAAGGTTGAAGACAGGCATGAAAAAGTTCATAAACATTCAGGATAATAGACTTTTAAAACATCCAATGTAGAATACCTTCAAATATAAGTTATTCCAATATTTCATCGCAAGAGAATTGATCAAAAGGCAGGAAATATGACTGTATTTGAAAATTTTCTTTCACACAGGACTAGACACTGTCTTTGATCATACTTGAACTTACAGTGGAAATGAGTAAGATGAAATTCCCCGTTAGCACCAATGCACAGTAACATTTCTTGTTGAGAAATTCTAACCGTTCAAGTTGTTTAATGAGCAGCTCTCTCACCTTTTCTTTTTGCTGATGATCATGTCCATGGTTTGGAGCAGTCGCCGCTCCAGGGCTAGGATGTCGACGTCCGTCACATTCCTATAATAATTAGCACAAACTGCTAGCAATGTTTTGGGGTCCCGTCCTTGGGCATAACACAAGGCAGCTGGAGAAACACATATACCTCAATTGTTACCCAGCAATTCAAGAACTTTTTCCAGAGAAAATGAAAATGAGCACAAATGTTGTCCTTTTCTATAGCTATTACTCCCGGGTCTCAGGACAATGGAAGGGAATTAGTTGTCCGTTAGTCTTTCTTAGCTTTCAGCCAGTGACATTTATGATGCACGTGTGAGCACAGTTTTAACTTGGCATTGTCTGTTCCACTTTTGGGAGGAACTGGTTTGTTGGGATTAGCTCACATTACTGTCCACTGTGCCTTTAAAAAGGGGTGGGGTAAAGGGTGGAGAGGGTCAAATTGAAATTGTCATTAAAATAAATAAGTGTAGGACAAATAAGGGCAAGCAATATAAGTAATAAGACTTATTTAGAAAGATTCCTAGGCCAATGCCCATAAGGACAGAGGAAAAGAATAAAAAGGCAGTGTTAATAAGTCTAATATTTAAGGATTAATGATGGCGGCATGGTATGACATTTGTGTTCAAGAAGAGAGAGAAAGAAAGGAGAGCACGCTCTCCTTACCTGAGGAAGTAGGACATGTAAGTGTACGGGCAGTTGACAGCACCGAATCCAGAAAGAAGAGCCATGAGAGTCACACCGATCACACCCACGCGGCTGATGAGCTGTTCTATGGACAAGATCCCTAGAAACAGGCAAAAACATTAATTTACCGTTAGCTAAGGTATAGCTGCTTACCTGTGCTGTCACCGTAAGCAGCCTGGGGCCCTTTTATAGCTCCTGTCCCTCATTTCAAATATCACAAATTTGAAACAAATTTGCCTCTCTGTGGTTTATTTGATACTAGTGGCCTGATATTCATGCACATTAAAAGGTGATTAATTGGAGGAAATATTTTAATACTGCTATTTTCCCTTTTTCTATAATAGAAGTGTCAAAGATGAAAAAAATTAGTAAAATATATATGAAAATCTTCCTCCTGTCAGAGTCTGGGGTGCTCTGTGGGACCCAGAGTCAAGTTCCCATCCACCCATGGCACCTCAAAATCCAGCGAGAGCCAGACCCAGCAGGCTCCGCCCCCGTCAAGCCCTGCCGGGTGGGGACGCAGCCTCATGTCCCCTGGCCTGGCACCAGGGTGGGGACATGGCCTAAAGTCCCCTGTCAAGCCCCACCAGATGGGGGGGGGGCGCAGGCTCAGGCCACCTGCTCTGGCCCAGCATCACGCAGACTCAGGTCCCTGCTGACTGTTCCTTAAGGCTCGTTACAGGAACTCAGCCCCACTGTGGGCGCAGCCATCTTGTGTTACAGAAACCCCACCACTGCTGTGGGCGCAGCCATCTTGATATGGAAACCCCGTCTCTGCTGTGGGCACCACCATGTTTGAGTGTGATGGTTAATTTGCATATTCTCTATTTATTAGCTAGGATAGTTTATATGAGAGCTATCTTATCAGCGTCTCCCTTCTCCAAACCATTCCCTACAATGACATGGGCACTCTTACTATATTATCACACCCTAAATTCCTATCCAGAGCGTTAGTTACTTTCCTGATAGAAAGATAAATAAGATGTACTTTCTGACCTCATGGAACTCATAGGTGAATGAGTTTATCTACTATCTTGGCAAGACTTAAACTTTTTTTCATTCACTGATTCAATAAACAGGTGATAAACGCTATGTGCTAGGATGCTCGCTAGGCACTAAAGATACAAAGATAAATGTAGTTTCTGACCTCAGGGAACTCACAGGTGAATGAGGAAGTCAGAAAACAATTATACATTTTATATAAATACATTGAGATGGGAGCAATTAGTATTCTCTGATGAAGGCCAAAGGAACAGACAAGAGTTGACTATTGAGAGAATAAATCAGCATTTCCCAGGTAGACAGGGGGGAGGGTTGTCCAGGTTGATAGAACAGCTCCAGAAACTTCGAGTAGTTTGGGAGTAGTCTGCCCTCCAGCTACCTCCAGTTTTGAGGTAGCTGGAGGGCAGACATAGAGAAAATCAGGCCACAGAGCGTCTTGTACGCCATGATGAGTTTGAATGTTCTTGGTAGGCTGGTGTTTCTTAACTTTTTGGCCTTCTTTAATGTTATTTAACATTTCAAAATAGTTTATAAAATATACAGTTGTTTATGATGTTGCACATGCTTTTAAAATCTGCACATTTCCTGTTCCTCCTGCAGGAGAGTCTCATAACCTCCCTCTTCCAAATCCCTGGCACAGGAAACGAGGAGACACGGAAGGAAGCATGGGGGAGAGGCAGATCCTAGGCCTGACCCATTCATTATGCTAACCCCTTCCTAGCATGCTTCTTACACTGCGGAACTGGAGGAAAGCCAAAAGTTCTTTTCTAGATTTCCTCGAAGGCAAGGTCTGACTGTTCCCGAGGCTGCATCAAATTCACCTGCTGTGTGAAACCTCAAATGCATTCGAAACTATGTGGGAATAACAACAGCACCTGGGACACAGGTTCTATGGTCTGGTCCCTGATGTCACAGTCCTAAGTGGCAGGTGATGCTTCAGTGCGTTTTTTCAGGTTTAGTCCTATGGTACTTCTACGATGCTATATATATATATATATATATATATATATATATATATATATATATATATATAATTTTATATAGATTTTCAGAGAGGAAGGGAGATAGAAACATCAATGATGAGGATCATTGACCGGCTGCCTCCTGCATACCCTCTACTGGGGATCGATCCTGCAACCTGGGCATATAACCTTGACCAGAATCAAACCTGGGACCCTTCCATCTGCAGGCCGACGTTCTAACCACTGAGAAAACTGACAAGGGCTACATATGTAGTTTAAAAGCTCCAGTATAAAAGCTCTAATATGTTTATTACAGGTGAGCTCTCTAATTGATTTTAGATAAATCTGTATATATATTTGTGAAGTAGTTCTGGAAGAATTTGTTAGTCAAGACATTTTTGTTTGAAATTAGGACTGTTCGTGACCTGTTCTTGGATTTAAAATGAGCTTCCTTGTGTGAAGAGAGATACTGTTTCTTAGAAAGTTTTCTATTTTCACTAATTGTGTTTTATGTCACTGCTCTTTCCCCAAATCCATATACCCCCTGAAGAGAATCTTTAGCCTCATGTTAGCAGTGGCCACAGACCCTTTTGGGAATCTGGTAAAAGCTTATGGACATCCCACCTCCAAATACACATACAAATATAGTCCCATAATCACATATAGTGTCAGGAGACTGGAGTTAAAGACACCTTTGTCCTCTCCTTACTCCCTTGAAGTGTATTCACTACCTTAAGCTCAAAAGCTCCTTTCTGAAAGGAAAAACCGGCATGTGACACCTCTTAGGATGGAGGGACAATTTGGTTCAAAACCAGAAAACTTTTAGAGACTTAATTTGCTATATTTCTCAATCAGAAATTTTAAAAATGATTTTTTTTAAATATCAGAAAATTATAAATAACCTATTCCTCTTCTCCCCTCAACACATACGCACTCACCGTGTTTTGGGCTGAGAATGGGAAATGGATCTCCTAGTTTCCAGAAGAAATACATAAAAGTCAGCCATAAGAGGCAGGAGAAAAGCAGCCGCTGTTTGTGCACTGAGAGGGAGGAGACAAGACGAAGGTTAAACAGATACAGGCTAAAGAGCTTGCTCTACTTAAAAGCTATGGGATAACACTAATTTACATTTGGCTGGCTTGTTCTCTTGGCAAATGAGGGATGGAACAATGTAATTTTTAGAGAAAGCATCCTTACCACTTTAAGAGAAACTTGGCTGAAATTAAGCTGTGGGTTGAGTTAAGGGAGAGGATCTGATAGTAACAGAACCAGATCTGTGACAGGACAAATACCCTAATCGTTCATTCAATATTTATTTTGTGCCAGCCCTTTAAGATGCGGAGTGGGAGGTGGCCCCAGACTACAGCCCCGAGGGTCCAACACTCACACAGGCGGATGTTGCTCACAATGAAGTAGCCGATGTAGAAAGGCACCAGGAAGACCAGGATCAGCAGAATGACGCACAGGTTCAGCTTCCAGTGGAAGTAGCGGGAGCTGCAAGACAGGCCGAGCCGTCAGAGGGAAGGGGCGCAGCTGCCTCTCCTTAAGTCTCCCAGGGGATCTCCTGCTGTTTGATCTCAATGCTGAATACACCCACCCTGCTAGTCAACGAGGCTGTTACTGCCTGCTCATTTATACAGAGCAGGAAAAAAGTTCCAAGAGGTATATATCATCATCTTAAGCTCTTAAATTTTCACTTATTAAGATGAGAATGTTAGTGTTCTAGTTACATTCATAGACAATGTATTGCCGGAAACTAATTCCAGCGTGTCAGCAGGGCTGAATCATCTGGAGATGGCTGAGGGCATTTCCCCAAACCTGAAAAGGATGCATAAATGATTACTTGCTGCCAGACAGCTGAGAGCATTTTAATCTACATGTTATTGCCTCCTACTGGCCAAACATCTGAACAGCTAAAGGCAGTTCCTCCAATTTGACAATGGATTCTGTATATCAAACTTGGCCTTTGAGAGATGTGTGTGTGTGTGTGTGTGTGTGTGTGTGTGTGTGTGTGTGTATATATATATATATATATATATATATCTTACGGTATATATATCGAGCCTTAGGACAAGTTGTATTAATAAAAAGCAAGGGGTCCAGAGATACAGGAGAACTTGGTTTCTTCAGCTAAGTTTTCTCTGGCTCCCCAAAATGCCTTCCAAAATTATGTTTCATATCTGGACTCTTGATTAATTTATACACAGTGCCTTCTCCAGATTCCTAAACCCTTCTAGATGCTGGATTAAGACCCCCACCATGTATAATAATATATATGAACATACATTATTACTGACACAATGACTATTGCTTCACTCACCACTGGGAATTTTATTCTGAGAATTTAAAAAAATGTTAATTAGCTTAATGTGTGCTATAAAGACTCAGAAATACTTCTGTATCTTGTGGTAGAGAACTAAACATCTGATTTGCATGACTTCATTATTGCATCTAAATATTTTATTTATTAAAATATTTTAGAATTTTTATAGTAATTTTATTGAGATATAATTCACCATTTAAAGTGTACAATTCACCCAGCCGGTGTGGCTCAGTGGTTGAGCATTGGTCATAAACCAAAAAGTCACAGTTCAATTCCTAGTCAGGGCAGATGCCTAGGTTGTGGGCTCGATTGTCAGAGTAATGTGTGTAGGAGGCAGCTGATCAATGATTCTCTCTCATCACTGATGTTTCTATTTCTCTCTCCTCCCTTCCTCTCTAAAATCAATAAAAATATATTTAAAAATAAAATCAAAGGGAAAAAAAGTGTATTAATTCAATGGGGTTTTAGTATATTCAGAGAGTTGTGTGAGCATCACAATTAATTTCAAGCATTTCCAACACTGCCCAAGGAAATCCTATACTCATTAGCAGTCACTCCCCTTTCTTACCACCTTTCCCATCTAGGAAATTTTCTGTCCCTACGGATTTGCTATTCGGAGCATTTATTATATTATAAATGGAATCGTGTAATATGTGATCTTTAGTGACTGGTTTTCTTCACTTAGCATAATTTTTGTTTGTTTGTTTTGTTGACCTCACCTGAGGATATTCTTTCCATTGATTTTTTTTTTTTTTTTTTTTAGAGAGTGGAAGGGAGCGAGGGGGAAACATAGATGAGACACATCAGTTGGTTGCCTTCCACTTTCATTCCGACTGGGGTTGGGGATTGAACCTGTAACCCAGGGATGTGTCCTTGACAGGGAATTGAACCTAAGACCCTTTGGTGCATAGGCCAACACTCTAACCACTACCAGCCAGGGCCATTTAGCATAATTTTCCAAGTTTTACCCATACTGTAGCATCAATCAATATTTCATTTCTTTTTATGGCTGGATAATCTTCATTCCATTGTATAGGTATATCACATTTTTTTTATCCACTCATTTGTTGGTGGACATTTGGGTTGTTCTTTTTAGCTATTATAAATGTGATGCTATGGACATTTGTGTATAAGTTTTTGTGTGAACACGTTTTTATTCTTATTAAATACCTAAAAGTGGAACTGCTGGGTCATATGGTGACTATTTAATTTTTTAAGGACTACCACTGTTTTCCAAAGTGGCTGCACCATTTTAATTCTCCCTGAAGTATATGAGGGTTCTAATTTCTCCGTAGCTTTGTCCATACTTGTTATTGTTATTTTGGTGTGCGTTAATTCTCATCTGAGGATACTTTTTCCATTGATTTTTTTTAAGAGAGGGAGGGAAGAGACAGAGAAAGAAACATAGATTGGTTGCCTCCCATATGTGCCCCCAACCAGCGTCTGGGATTAAACCTGCAACTGAAGTATGTGTGAATTAAATCTGAGACCTTTCAGTCCACAGGCCAATACTCTAACCACTGAGCCACCTGGCCAGGGCATTACTGTCTTTTTTATTATAGCCACCCCAGTGGGTGTCTATAATAAACTACAAAGTGGTATCACACTGTAGTTTCTTTCATCTGCTGTGGAGTATCTTTTCATGTGCTTATTGGCCATTTCATCTTATTTGAAGAAATGCCTATCCCAGGTGTCGGCAACCTACGGCTCCAGAGCCGCATGCGGCTCTTTTGAAGCTTTACCGCGGCTCCGACAACTTGCAAGCCTGTGTGAAAATGAAGGTAACGTCTTACAGCCCTGATGTGCTGACACTGTGCACTGAGGTTCAGGAGCAAAAATCCCATTAACCAGGTAAATTAAATATTTTAATTAGCTATTAATTTGCAAAAATATATTTTACATTGTTAAGTGAAAAAGTCCTTTTTTTCTTCAGATTGACAGCCTACTGCACGATCCGGTATATAGCATTAAGGTAAGAAACAATATATGCAGTGTTATATTTGTTTTAAATGTCGCAATGGTTTTGCGGCTCCCAGGTTTTTTTTCCCTTCGGAAACGGGTCCAAGTGGCTCTTTATGTCTTAAAGGTTGCAGACCCCTGGCCTATCCAGATCCTTTGTCCATGTTTCAGTTGTGTTATTTGCCCTTTTATTTCTGAGTTTTATATTCCCTAGACAGAAGTTCCTTTTCAGATATGTGAGTACCGTACACTGTGGACTCTTCTAGTCCAGGAAGGTTCGGGTTATTCCTTTAGTTGTTGGTTTGAGTTAGGACTGTAGCAAGTGCTACCACACTGCATTCCCAGATCCAGCCACCCAGGCCTAACTTCTCTAGGGATGAACTATTTGTACCACTGCAGCAAGAAACATCCCACCTTTATTTTCTTTTTCTTAACAAAGACAATTCAACATCATTTATTGTCATCTAGTCGTTACTTAAGGTTATTGTAAGCCAATATGAATAAATGGGTAAGACATATTCTCCAAACAAAGGACACCATACAACACAAACTATATTGTTTCTCAGTAACTCCTCACTTAGCATTCAAGTCATTTCTAGGTGTAGACACTTTGGAGCAGAGTAATATTATCTCCTTTCAGCATGATCCGACTTAGTTGTTTTCTTGACTTTGTTTTAGAATGAATCTCTTCTGCATCATCTAATACGAGATTCATATACTCATCAAAACCAATGATACAGCCTTCTATCCTCATATTCACTTGCTCATAAAGCCACATCTGAATCCCAGATCTATTTTGCAAGTATCTGAAGATGAGGTTGATGGGCTGCACCATCACCTTCTGCACCTTCTGGCCCTGGCCGCGGTACGCCAGGGTGGAAGCTGACAAAGACCACGCTGAGCCCCACGCTAGCCTCCGAGCCACTCCGGGAAGAAAGAACCGGAAGCGGAAGTGTGCGGCGCTGGCATAGCGGCCGGCACAGTTCCTAGGAAGTGCTTCTCTCCCACCTTTATTTTCAATCTTGTTTCCAGTCATTCTTTTATTTTTTTAAAGAGTTTTAAATAGATTTATAGAGAGAAGGGAGAGGGAGAGAGAGAGAGAAACATTTATGTGAGAGTGGAACATCGACTCAACACATGCCTGGGTTATGGGCTCAATCCACAGTGTGTGTGTGTGTGTGTGTGTGTGTGTGTGTGTGTGTGTGTGTTAGGCGACAGCAGATCCATGATTCTCTCTCATCATTGATGTTTCTCTCTTTCTCTCTCTCTTCCTCTCTGAAATATATGTGTGTGTGTGTGTGTGTGTGTGTATGTATGTGTATATATATGTATGTATATGTGTGTGTGTGTGTGTGTATATATATATATATATATATATATATATATATGAAAAAAAGAAAGAAACCCGTAACTAACTTGGAGGAATTCTGACCCTCTCATGTAGAGATTTGTCAATCCCCAGCACAATGTGGAAAGGTGTTACTGGAATTCAGTCAGAGAACAGCTGAGAAAAAATAAAACTTCTCAGTAGGATGAGCCTCTTAGAAACTTCTCAATTAATATCTCAGAGCTAGTGGTCAGACCTTTTCCCTGCTATTTCACAATCCTTGTCAAACCCGCTACCAGGTGGTTGAACCCTTATTTGGTGTTATGATTTCAGTACTGCGACTGAACTACCCACACGGCGGGCTTTTTCAGCTATGGGATCCAAGAAAGCCATCCACTGCACAGTGGATACCTCACTCACCTGCTGTTCAGCACTCCTAAGATCTCAAAGATGATGAGCTCAAACATGGTGCAAGAAAACGCAAAAGTCACGGAGAAGATCACCTGCACGACATACTGACGTACCTGTGAAAAGCCAAGCAGAGAGTAAGGGTCATTTTCTTGTTTGAAATACCGAATTGATCATCTTCTGGTTATAACCCAGAAAACTTATTTTGAAGAAATTCTCCGTCATTAGAAGGAGGGGCACAAAAGGAACTTGCCTGGAGCTAAAGAAATAGATGAAAGTAGGTAATGGGAATGCAGACTGGTGCAGCCACATGGAAAACAGTATGGAGTTTCCTCAAAATATAATAATGCAGCGGAAACCGGTTTGGCTCAGTGGTAGAGCGTCGGCCTATGGAAGGAAAGGTCCCAGGTTCGATTCCGGTCAAGGGCATGTACATTGGTTGCGGGCACATCCCCAGTAGGGGGTATGCAAGAGGCAGCTGGTCGATGTTTCTCTCTCATCGGAGTTTCTAGCTCTCTATCCCTCTCTCCTCCTCTCTGTAAAAAATCAATAAAATATATTTAAAAAAAATATTATAGTGCAGTGAAGACCTGGGAGAGGGGATGGGAGCAGGGTACAGGGGTCAATGGGGGGAGGAGTAAGGAGAGGAGAAGGGGACATTTGTAATACTTTCAACAATAAAGATAAACTTTTAAAAATTAAAAATGGAACTCCTTTTTGACCCAGGGACCCCACTTCTGGGAATATATCTGAAGAAACACAAAACACTAATTGGAAAGAATACACACACACCTTTGTTCATTGCAGCACTACTTATAATATAAGATTTGGAAGTAGCCAAAGTGCCCATCAGTAGATGAATGGATAAAAAACTGTGGTGCGTTTACAGAGAAGGATAGTACTCAGCCATAAAAAGAAGGAAATCTTATTCAAATATATGATTTCACTGATTTGTGGAATCTAATGACCAAAACAAAACAAACAAACAAACAAACAAACAAAACAGAAACAGATTCATAGTTACAGAGAACAACTGATAGCTGTCAGAGGGAAGAGGGGCTGGGTGAAATGAAGGGATAAAGCTTTAGGAAAACCACACACACACACACACACACACACACACACACACACACACGCCATCCTCATAGAAACAGACCACAGTATGATGATTACCAGAGAAAAGGGGGGTAGGGGCAGGTAGGAGAGGGTAAAGGGGGATAAATGGTGACAGAAGTAGACAGGATGGTGAACACACAATACAATATACAATGTATTGTAGAATTGTACACTTTGAAACCTGTATAATTTTATTACCTAACATAACTTCAGTAAAATATATTAAAAACAAACTAGAAATTAAAAAAAAAAAAAAGGTGTACTTCTGAATCATGGGTCACTGTTACTATCATCCTGCGGAGGGAGAAGTTAAGGCATAAAAAAGTGAAGTGACAGGGTCACAGTAGCACTTAGGATTCCTGATGCCACTGACAATAAAAATGGCAGGTTTATGTACAAAGGTTAGAGCTAAAAGGTTTCTTCAATGCTCTGCAGACCTTGGGCCAGTTCTGGACCCTCCCCAGAGGTCTTAAAAGTCTTGAGCAGAACAGAAACTCTAGAATCTCGGCTCTTTCAGACAGCAAGCAGCCCCATCTCACCTGGGAGGTTTAATGGAAAATACCCTAGGATGACCTCAAAGCAGGCTGTAACCATGGAGCTTTTACTAAACGAGGAGGATTGGTTAGGAAAAGTCCAGTTGAGGTTGATATTTTTCTGAATTAAGTGATTTTGGTATTAATTTAGGATGTAAGATTGGTCATTGATACTGAAGGTCAGACACCCAAATGAACAGACATTATTGAGACATAAGTTAAATTCTCTCCCAAAGAATAACTGTTTGCTTTTGGTGTGCATACTGATGTCACCAAGGCATGGCATTTCTTGTTCCTGACTTCTTGGCCAAATATATGACTTGCTTAAATAAATAAATAAATAAATAAATAAATAAGCCAACTAAACCTAATCATAGTCTCCAAGTTAAGAATTATATAGGACTCATTTGACAAAAACTTCTATCTTGGAAGTGAACATGACCTTTATTTTACTTTTCTCTGTCTAGTTTATTTAACATGAGTATTCTTTCTGCCCCATTTTAAGACGATTTAAACTCATACAGTATTAACATCATCAAGATGATCTCCTCTCACCTCGTAGTCCTTAAACAGTTGGCGCATGAAGAAAAGCCACCCAAATCCGAAGAAAAGTATCTGAAGGAGAAAGACGACAGAAAGTCAGTACACATAGCTTTTGATAAATGCCTTATATATTTTATGATAAAAGGTCTGCTAACGAGATAGTTAATTTCAGATATTAAAGATGAGACCTACTCATAAAATATCTATTTACTGAAATCCTGAACATTAGGAGTAGATATTAAAATACTCTTCAATCTTTGAAATTATACATGTTTTAGAATGTGTTTTAAGTTAGACAAAAATTAAAGTATGTTTTTCTTGTAATCTTTTTTTTAAGTTTTCTTTAAAAAATGTATTTTATTGATTTTAGAGAGGAAGGGAAAGAGAGAGATAGAAACATCAATGATGAGAGAGAATCATTCACTGCTGTCTCCTGTACCACCCCCCTTACCCTTACTGGCGGTGAGCCTGCAATCTGGGCCTGCGCCCTGACAGGGATCGAACTGTGACCTCCTGGTTCATAGGTCAACGCTCAACCACTGACCACACCGGTCGGGCTTTCCTATAATCTTAATGATAATCCTTTTATGAGCCAGAAAAGTTATCAAATAAAAAAAGTCAGTGAAACTTGCTGTTTTACAGATGATCCCTGTTTGCAAGTATTTCAAAAATCAACAACAAACAACTTCATGGGAAAGAAAAGTAATAGAGTGATATTTTTTATGTTTTCCTTCGTGGGGCCTTCTGAGCTTCTGTAGCATCCTTCCTAACCCAGATAAAGTGGTTTCCATCTCAGTACAAATGCAAGCGACTGCAAGTAGCACTTCGTGGGTTTGGTTCATCAGAGGCAGCAGCCACATGGCAGCTCTGTTCAGTGCTCAGAAGCTGGTTTGTCTTCCACAAGTAAATAGAACCTTCTACACAAATCCCCCCCCCCATCCCCCCCCCCACACACACACACTCTCTCTCTCCTCTTAAATTGGCTAGGAACTTTATTGAAGAATAAAATCCTTTATGCCTTCCCAATGAATTGAGGAGCAGGGTGAACTCTGGGGCAGTTTGACGGAGATTCCTCCTCCTCTTGCTGTGCTCCTCCTACCCACCAAGTCCTAGCTTCAGCTGCATGGAGCTGCCTCTGGCTTAGACACACACTGCTTCATATCAAGACCTTGCAGACTCTCCAGTCCCCTCCTACGTACCCTCCAGGTCCCCATATACCTCTGGAAGGCCTCCTCCCAAATCAAAACAAGTTGCTCTTTTTACATGATCCCTATTCTGCCCCCCATTCCTCTATCAAAGCGCTTACCATACACGTTTTCAATGTCTAATTTAAATACATAAGATTTTTATTCAATATCCACTTATGATTAAAAAAAATTTCAACAAAACATCAAAATACCAAACTAAAGTTTTTGCACAGTGAAGGAAATTATCAACAAAATGAAAAGACATCATATCAATGGGATAAGATACACCCAATTAGGAGTTAATATACAAAATATAAGGCACTTATAAAGTCTAATACCAAAAACCCCATACCATCCAATTAAAAAATGGCAAAGAACCTGAACAGACATTTATCCCAAGAGGACATACAGAAGGTCGATAGACATATGAAAACATGCTCAACATCACTAGTCATCGGAGAAGTGCAAATTAAAACCACAAGGAGATACCAGCTTACACTTATCAGAACGATTACCATCAATAAACGAAGAAACAGCAGTGTTGGTGAGGATGTGGAAAAGAGAACCCTTATGCACCCTGGTGGGATTGTAAATTGGTGCAGCCACTATGGAAACCAGTGTGGAGTCATCAAAAAATAAAAAATAGAGCTGCCAAATGTCCCAGCAATTTCACTGCTTGGTATTTATCTGAAGAAAACAAAAACACTAATTCCATAAGACACATGTACCCCTATGTTCACTGTAGCATTACCAGTAATAGCCAAAATAAGGAAGTAAACTAGGTATCTATTGATAGATAAATGGATAAAGATGATCTCTCTCTCTCTCTCTCTCTCTCTCTCTCTCTCTCTCTCTCTCCTCTCATATTACTCAACAATAAAAAGAATGAAATTTTGCCATTTTCACCATGAATGGACCTAAAGGGTATTATGCTAAGATAAAAAAGTCAACCCTAACCGGTTTGGCTCAGTGGATAGAGCGTCAGCCTGCAGACTGAAGGGTCCCAGGTTCGATTCCGGTCAAGGGCATGTACCTTGGTTGCAGGCACATCCCCAACAGGGGATGTGCAGGAGGCAGCTGGTCGATGTTTCTCTCCCATCGATGTTTGATGTTTCTAACTCTCTAACCCTCTCCCTTTCTCTCTGTAAAAAAAAAAAAAAAAATATCAATAAAATATTAAAAAAAAAAAAGTCAGACAGAGACAAATACTCTATGATTTCACTTAGAGTGGAGTGAGGGAGCTATATGACAAGACACACTGGAGGACATGGAAAGAGACCAGGAAGGAGAAGGAATGGTCATGATTTCACTTACATGTGGAATCTAAACAAAACAAAACAAAACAAACAACAAACAAAAAAGAAACAGATGCATACTTGGTTGCCAAGGGGGAGGGGGGAGCAGGGATGGGAGACATTTAAAAAAAATCAAACACTTATTATAAGCTAAATTAAAAAGAAAAACAAACAATAAATGCACCAGGCACACACTAAGTGCCCAGTAAATGTTGTGTTAATATTCTTGCTCCTTTTACTCAGGGACAGTGAGGCACAAAGTTTGATCAGGGAAAGGGGAAGTAAAAGAAAAACTAGGGAATTTCAGTCAACTACAAAAAGACTAGAAAACCACAGGAAAAAAGACTAGAGGCAAGGGTAAATTTTTAAAAACAGACCCACGCCTACAATAAATTAAAAATGTATAAAAATAAGTAAAATAATGTGCAAAAAACAACTTAGAAACAATGTAACTATTAATGCCTAGATAAACATAAGGGGAGAGAAGATATAAAGTTGCTTCAATGTACTGATTAACTTATCTTTTATAACATGAGTCCAAAGAATATTGAAACTGATAAGTCAACTAATAGATGTAAAAGAACACTTAAGGGTTATACAAAGATATATAAAAGTACAAAGGATATTTAAACATAGAAATACTAGAATAAAAAGCATAATCCTATATAATAAAACTCTAATATGCAAACTGACTCAACTGTAAATGACCGGTCACTATGATGTGCACTGGCCACCAGGGGGCAGACGCTCAACACAGGAAATCAGTGCATTCCCACAGGGAGAACGCTGCTCAGCTGGCGAGTGCAACGGTGGTATTTCCAACCCTTCAGGCTGAGAACTACTAGCAGGATCGCCTAAGACCATCGGAAAACAGATATTTACATTCTGACTCATTAACAGTAGCAAAATTACAGTTATGAAGTAGCAACGAAAATAATTTTATGGTTGGGGGTCACCACAACATGAGGAACTGTATTAAAGGGTCACAGCATTAGGAAGATTGAGAACCACTGGCCTAGGTTAAGAGGAAGGAAGTGGAAGGAAATCACACCTTTGACCTCGCTTTTGTTAATAAAGTAGGAGGTAAGGCCATCTGCTAAGAGTACAGAGGTGAGGAGGGGGAAAAAGGACTTTGAAGAGAGTGATAAAGACACAGCAATGATGAAGGGAATGGAACAAGTAGCTAATTGAGGTAAAGAAAAACACACCACGACTCAGTGTCCATCAACTCATGGCACTGGCAAGCCGCACAACTGGCTGATATTCTACATCAGCCTCAGGCCCTGAGTTAATAACGGACAAGCTACAGCAGTGACCCAAGTGTGGAGTTTTGTATGTAGGTAAAGAAACAAGAAGGTACGAGAAAGCAGTTTTGAAATATGAATCCATACCGAGAAGAGGGGTGAGCAGATTAGGAGAAAATACCCCTAGACCACCCAGGAGACCCTCTGGCTACTACCGTGTTTCCCCGAAAATAAGACATCCTCCGAAAATAAGACCTAGCACATGGAAAGATAAGACATCCCCTGAAAATAAGACCTAGCGCAACTTTGGGAGAAAAAATTAATATAAGACACTGTCTTATTTTCGGGGAAACGGGGTATAAATTACTACGAGAGAAGACATTTAAGTTGAGAGTGTAAGGCCATGCTTATATGACTTACAAAGAAGTCATGTCTGCAGTTGGGGGAGTTAGGCATTTAGGACTGGGAGTGGTATGACAAAGACAGGTGATTAAAAAGGTAATCTATAACACTAAGTGCACCTGAAACAGATCTTTATTTTTTTAATATATTTTATTGATTTTTTTTATAGAGAAGAAGGGAGAGAGAGAGAGTTAGAAACGTCAATGAGAGAGAAACATCGACCAGCTGCCTCTTGCACACCCCCTACCGGGGATGTGCCCGCAACCAATGTACATGCCCTTGACCGGAATTGAACCTGGGACCTTTCAGTCCGCAGACTAACGCTCTACCACTGAGCCAAACCGGTTTCGGCTATTTTATTGATTTTTTACAGAGAGGAAGAGAGAGGGATAGAGAGCTAGAAACATCGATGAGAGAAAATCATTAATCAGCTGCCTCTTGCACACCCCCTACTGGGGATGTGCCTGCAACCGATGTACATGCCCTTGACTGGAATTGAACCTGGGACCTTTCAGTCCGCAGACCAACGCTCTATCACTGAGCCAAACCGGTTTTGGCTTAAAATGGATCTTTAAACAAGAAAAAGAAAACAAGCAAAAATGACAATAAATATGAAAGGAGGGGAAATGGAAGACAAAGAAAAAGAAATCTATGCTTTTACTATTTCTTTGTGGGCTCCTTTCACATTGACAAAAAAGCTTAAGACTTTTACCCAACTAATAATAATAAAAATAAGGGGAACTGGAGAGTTAAGTCCAAGGTAAATATGAATTCTGGTAAAATTATAGAGAATCTAAAAACAAGCAGAAGGAAAAAAAGCATTTTCAAACAGTTTTGCAGATAAAAGGTGCACAGCTTCTTATTCAAAAAAGAGGGTTAATATTTTAAAAATTGTATGGTCTTGACCTTGGGACTTTGGAACTGATAAATCGTATGACTGCAAA